AAAAAAACAAAAAAAAAAAAAAAAAAAAAAAAAAAAAAAAAAAAAAAAAACAATCAGAAAAAAAAATTTTAAAAAATTCATTTGCGTGTGCCTTCCTTCTTTGTTTTCTTTGGGTCGTGTGCTTTGTCCTTCGTTGTGTTGTGTGTCCTTTGCTCTGTGCGCTGTACTGCCTCGTTCTCGTATTGTGTCTTTCTCTCTCTCCCTCTCTGTCTATCTCTCTCTCTCTCTCGCTCTCTCTTGCTCTCTCTCTCTCTCTCTCTCTCTCTCTCGCTCCTGCTTTTTCTGCTTTCCCTTCTGCTGCTCTGCTGCCGCTGTGGATGCAGTCGCTTTTCAGAGTTGAGCGTTGCAAGCCTCTTTGTGCTGCAGGCCGTCTCGGAGTACTTCACTGCCGTGGCTGCTGCATGCAAAGCAGGTTCTGTAACGATCGCAGCGGGAGGATGGGAGGGGCTGCTCAAGCAGCAACAGAAGCAGCTGCTGCAGCAGGAACAGCTGCAAACGCTGCTGCAGCAAACGCAGCATCAGGAGAAGATCCTAAAGCAGCAACTCGCGGAGGTAAAGGCGGCAGCAGCAGGGAGAGCTGCTTTTTTCCCGTTTTCTAAGATGAGCTTCATTGTGGTACACCTTCTAAGGGGCATTAGCGGACGCAGCAGCACTGATGTGCGACGAGTTTGTGGCTGTTGCTGCAGAAGGAGAGCTTGATATCGATCAAAGAGTCCGAAGTTTTAGCAGTTCAACGCCTTGTCTCCACTCTGAAACCTCAAGCCGATCGGTAGGCTGTCGGGGATATGCTCTTCATGTTTTGAACTTGATCCTTATTGGGATGGAGTGCGGTTTTTGCTGATTCGCATTTCTTGTCTATCTCAGTCTCTCTGTGTATATCTCTAAATGTGCCTTTCTGAAATGTGCTCGCTCTCCTTCCATCGGTCCCTGCACCAGCCCTGCTGCAGTTCCCTTCTTTCGCGATCTTCCTGGATTCTTTAGGCCGCTTCTTTTCTCCTGCCTGTCTGATGCGTGTGCTATTACGTCTGGCTCAGTGTTAAATTACGCTATATAGGTGGTGCGTGTGCGTTGGCGGTGTGAATGTGTGCGTGTATGTGTGAATGTGTGTGTGTGTGTGTGTGTGTGTGTGTTTCTGTGTTTACGCGTGTGTCTGTGCATGTGTATGTGTGTATGTGTACGTGAGTTTCTGTGCATGTATATATGTATGTGCGTGCACAGCTGCGCTGCAATCGAAACTTCCCTTGACGAAGCCGAGAAGCAACAGCGGCGATACGTGGCACTCCTGAATGGCCTTAGAGGCAGACTAGAAACGGCGGAGACTGACGCTCACACCCTCAGAACTGAGAAAGCAGCACTTTCCCAGAAAGTACTGGGTATGTATGCGCTTGACGCATGTGCAGTTCCGCGCATGTTCTCTAGCTTCCGCAGCTTGCACACATGCATGCATGGGCTGCATAGGACAGGCACCTTCTGTCAATGCTTGACGGGGGCTGACGTAATTTGAGCTGACTGTCTCATGAGGAGTCTCCTTCCCCTACACGCACATCTGCTTGCTTGCGCCTTCTCTATGTATTGCTTTCTGTTGGCTTTCGGATGTGGATAATGCTACAGATCAGCAGCGGAAGCTCGAAGCTCTTAAGCGGCTGAGCCTCTCTGCGCAGGCGGGAGGAACGGCTACTGCCGAGGTAGATTTTTTGCACCGCATCCTGCGCAGCTGCGTGCAACTGCTGAAAGCTTTTCCCACGCATGCGTTGGATGCACGACAGACCGCGGGGCTTGTGCGTGGAAGCCTCTGCACGCCTGTTTTTGCTGGCATGTCTGTTGCCTGGGGGGTGCCTTTGCATTTTCAGATTGAAGCGTTACGGGCGATAATATGGAAGCAGCAGCTAGAGCTGCAGCAGTTACACCTGAAGAGCGCTGAAGCCGTCGATTCAGCAGCGTCTACCGGCGGCTTCTTCCGCAAGCTCGAGCACCAGCAGCAGCAGCAGCTGCTGCTGCTCGCTCAGCAGCAGCAGCGTCAAAAACAACAGGATGGCGCAGCTGCAGCGGAGGGAAAAACATCGGCGGAGGGCCTTAGACTTGTGGAAGAGTTTCAGTAGGTTCACACACACACAGGAAACAGCTCTCCTCTAGAGCAGTAGCAGAGTGCTGCTGCTGCTGCGTTCAGATCAATCGAGGGAGGGAGAGACTGGTAGCATCTTCTTGAACTGCTTTTCGCGAATCCGATGTAACCAATGCTGCATGTGCTCGTGCTTTAGGGCCTTCGAGACGGCGTTGCTGCGGCACTGTTTTGCTGTTCCTCTGTGGGAACCTTCTGCCTCGCCTGAAGAAAACAAACACCGCATGCAACGCTACAAGGCAGAGCATGACGCCCTCTGCATGCAAGCGAGTGCACTAAGCAAAAAAATGGAAAGACACGTCTCGGGCCTGTGCGTCGACAGCTGTCTTGCTGCGATGAGGCGGGATGTCATGCCGCTGCTCTATCCTCTTTTGCTGCTCATGCGGCTGCTGTCAGGGCTGTAACTAGCATGCATCTGCTCGTGATGTATGTATTTATGCATCCATGTATGTATTTATGCATATATGGATGCATGGATGTGTGTATTTACCCATGTATGCATATAGGCATGTATACATGTATGTATGTATGGATGCATGGATGTGTGTATTTACCCATGTATGCATCTAGGCATGTATATATGTATGTATGGATGGATGTATGTGTGTATTTACCAATGTATGTATGCATGGATTTGTGTATTTATCCATGTATGCATCTAGGCATATATATACATATTTATATATGTATAATATGTATGTATGTATGCATGAATGCATGTTCTTTGTGTGTGTATATATCCGTTTGCTGCTGCAGCACGGCGGAGGCGCAGCTCTCCGGATTTGGTGATCACGCAAGTGCAGGCACATCCCACTTCTTGCGATGCTTTACGAGCCTGAAGGACTTGGCATTCAATAATCAGTCACCCCACGGACAGCAGCAACAGAGCCAGCTGCAGCAGCTGCAAACGCATGCACCGTTGCAGCCAGCGATGCGCATCCATCTCAAGGGACTGCCACCGTGGTTGCTTCCCTCTGCAGATGCTGCAAAGGAAGCTGCCGCAGCAACAGCTCCTCCAGGGGCAGAAGGAGTCGTATTGCCCTCTGAGGCTCAGATAGCCAAGCCGAGGGACGTCGCTGCTGGTGCAGCCGCAGCAACATGCAGCGCGGCAGCAACGGCAGCACAAAAAATGACGATGAAACTCATCGTCACAGATGACCAGCTCACGAAGCTGTACAAGCGCATTGCTGGCATCTGAGGGGGCCCTGTGCCCGACTTAACCCGCCGTTTCATCTCCGCCGTCCCAGCCTACTTGTATGCCCCTTGTCTAATTTAAATGTGCATGGTGAAATTAGACTGACTGATTCCCCACTACGCCAGTGGTCCCTTAGAGCCCCCAAGTGAGACATATCTGTCTGTGAGGCGGCCTCTGACCTCTTTCTACGCATAGCAGTGCCGTACAGAAGGTGCTCATCACGAGTCTTCCCAGGCACTCCTCAATGCCGCTGGATTGTGCCAATGTAGTTGTTCAATCAATGTTCGGTTTGGGGGTGTCTCCCTGTCGAGACTCGCAAAAGTCGAAGCTCGGCAGGGAGGGCAAGGCAGGGGCCTCGTGGAGCCTTGCCGCGGGAGTTGCGCGAGGTGTAGATGGGCAGAGTTCTTTTGCAGGAGATCGCGTAGAAGAGACAGGTGTAGGCAAAGAAGGAAGGCAGGGAGGCTTGACGACGGCAGACCGAGCGGCAAAGTGGGGGGCAGACGTTCGGGGAAAGGCAGTAGCGTGTGCGCGCACGGCAGGCAGGCAGGTTGGCTAGTACATTTTCTAACAGGGCACAGAAACTCTTCTCTTGTTCTTGCACGAGCTCGTGCATCCTAAAAGTATCTATATATGCCTGGTAAAGGGGGGCAAAGAGTTGCCGGCGCCAGCTGAGGGGGAAGTGACGTGCCTAGTGGGGGGTGTATATTTTATTGCAATGGGGGGAAGAGCAAACACTTGTGCAAAGCGTAGAAGCAGCAGGAAAGAGCACCGAAATAACAAGGGCTCTCACGTCACCTTGCACCACATACGCACTTCGCAGCAGCTACCGAGCAGCAGGAACAAAAGTGCTAGCATCTGTTGGTTGTGAACGTCAATACAATGGCGTGTTGTCTTGTGAAAAGCTCCCGTCCGACAAAACGTTGTAGGGTGTGAGAAGTCTATGAACACGCGTATAATATATATATAGAAAGAGGTTTTTCATGCACGAACTAGAGGCCCTAAGCCCTAGCAGTCGTCTCCCCAGATGCGAGTGCTTCTGGGGGGTTGTGCTACCCAATCCTACAGTGTCGGATTGCATGCAGCTTTTACGTGTGTCTGATCCTCCGGGCAAGGTGGAGGTCTTTTGGCATGAGGGTGACGCGTCCCGCATGCAGCGCACACAAATTGGAGTCCTCAAGCAGCCCCGTGACAAATGCTTCTGCTGCGCACTGTATGGCCTCAAGAGCCGCCGAGGTGAACCTGCGCAGAAGCGCACGCGGAGACAAGCGGTGGGCTGGTCTTGACACGTTCCTTGCAGGATTCAAGATGAAAGGTTGGCAAGAAAACAAAACGAAACAAGCTGGGGAAAAGGTGAAAAGCAGCAGAATGGGAAAAAGGAGGGGAAAAGGCATACATATGCATGTACACGTGCATGGATACAGACGAGACAAGACAGCCCAATACTCGTGATTTTCAAAGGGCACATCCTAAAGACAACGCCCTCTAAGAGATATGCATATGTGGGCAGCATGAGGATTTCGGTACAGTGACGGACGAATGCATTCATGCAAATACACACCATTCTATATCTAGCTATCCGGGATGGTCGGCAGGCAAAGACTAGATGTGCAGATCCTTTCTCCATCAAACAAAAGTTATTAAACACACACCTCTAGCTGTGTGTGTGTATGTGTGTATGTGTATGTGTATGTGTATGTGTGTGTATGTGTGTGCGTGCATGTGTGTGCGTGTGTGTGTGTATGTGTATGCAAGAAAAGCCACGGTTTCATACATTCGAGGGGGTCGTAAGACTGTGATGATTCGAGGAGGGAGGGCAGACTGGGAAGATAATAAGGCAAAGAAACGGCGAAACGGAAGAGGATAGTGGCAGGTACAGCGCCGTGAATTATGGAAGCCTCATGCAAAACAGTGCGGGCCTAAAGTTCGAGTCCATGGGGCTTTTGAAAATAAGGCAGCAACGCCGGTGGCATGAGAACGCCGCTTAGACCCATCTATTGCATGCAGCGTGACGAGTGTAGCCGAAAGCGAGAGCGCTTGCGCAGCCGCGTCAAGTCTCAACTCGTGATTTCAAGAATTTCCTTGCCTGTACATTCCAAAGTATGGAGGCGTAAATTTTTGAGCGACTTCGCGCACCAGACGGAAGAAAGGAGCCCTAGGAATCAGCAACTCCGTGCTGTTCTGCAAAGCACACAACACCCACAGCCTAACTTCGCACTCTCAGTGATCTCGAATCTCGCGATGCCACAATCAAGGGCCCGACTCAGCGCAAGCTACGGAGGCGCCGCCGCCGCATGCAAAATGTCAACTACTGCATGCAGCTCGGAACTGCGGGAAGCATGGCCTAGTCGTTACGCCCTTACCCTGTATCTGAGGATCTCTTTAAGCGCTTTGACCCCCGGGTGTGGGCGCGGTCGGTGCCCTATGCCGACTTGCCTGCTGCCAGGGGCGCCTCCAAGGGGCCCCCCAGAGGAGGGGCCCCCCGAGGGTGGCTGGGATTTGCCGCTAGGCGTTGACGGCGAAGACGCGGCGCTGTCACTATCGGGGCTGATGGGGGAGGAAGCAGATGGTCTCCTGCGCAGTTGCTGGACCTGCTGCCGCTTGGGGTTACCCACACCCTTGCGGGTGGGTTTGTTTTTGATGCGCGCCATCCAGCTGAGGCCTTGAAATCTAAGGCTCACCGGTTGCTGTTGCACCCATTTCCGAGGGGGCCCCTCGAAAGAACAAGACAGCAAAGCCCCTCCACGCGGTGGGCCCCCGAGGGCTCTGCGGTGGAATTATGGAGGGAGGTTTCTGCAGATACTAGGACACAGGAAACAGTTGAAATAAAACAAATTCTTGATCGAAAATTTTAAATGTGCGAGAGGCTGCGGCCACAGCTTCGCGGTGTAGCGACACCGCAAAGTTGCACTGGGCTGGGACGGTAGGTGGCTGCGGTGTTTCTGGCTGGAGGCGTTCTGTGCATTGCACTGCTGCCCGGCCATTTAGTTTACATTTAAACTTCATATTCGTGGCATTCCGTATGCCGCCTTCCTCTCGCGCTGTTGCGCGGCAACGGGGCCCCCCTCCCCCCGACATGAAACCGCCTACGCTGCCGCTGAAGCAGCAGCGTCAAGCGCAACGATAAGGTTACACAGAAAAAAAGCTTGGTCTTGAACTGCGCTTGCTTCCACGAGCAGCATATACGGAGGCAGTCTAGCTCAAAGGGTTCAAGCGCTGCACACTTGCGACATTCATGACCCTATTCTCCTGAAAGACCCCCAACCCTAAGGGCCTGTGCTTTGCAGCTTTAAGCACTCTGAGGCAACTCGCCTACGTCAGGCAGCAGCAGGCCCAACCTGTGCACATCCACGGCATCAGTCCACCCGAAAACAAAATTTTGATCCCCCTACTTTCGACACTCTCCTTCCAAGCATCGAGCCTTGACATACCACGTGCCATTTTCCCCGTCAGCTCACCGTTTGAAAGCCCCAGAGAGCTCGGCTTTCTCTTGAGGAAGCAGGAAAGGAGATTGTAACAGCAGCAGCCGCTTGCTGCAGAGATGCAGAACCAACCGATCCACTTCCGCAAGCACTTGGCCATCTGCAAAAACACGCTAAACCACAAGTTCAAAACCCTTTTAGGGCTTTAAGGGGCTCTTCTACAACAAACTCGCTAGAGAGAGAGACACTGCTCATGGGTATATGTATATATATATGCTTTATCTGGAAGGGCTAGAGTTGGGCTGCAGGTGCTTAGGCTTAGGTACTCAGAGACGTCTCCTCGAGGGCAAGACAGGAGGCCGCCTTTAACGCCGCAGCGAACGAGAAGAGAGACACATAGGCGGATATATCGAATCTGCTTCTGCTGCTAGTACTGCAGGATGCTGCATCGCTTTCGAGGAGGTCGTGAAGGCGGCCCATGAAAGGCAAAAGCCAACTGCTGTGCAAAATAAGACATTTTGCTGCTACTTGTGTTAAAGCAGCTTCTGCTGTATCCCCTGCGCTTCCTGCCGCTGGCGCTCCTGATTGCGCTGCCACCTCTTTTCCTGCTGCAGCAGGCTTCGCTGCCAAAAGCAGCAGCACCAAATCGATGACTAACAGCGCCTCGCTCTCCCTAAGGCTGCTGCCTCGGCCGTTCCCTAGCTCCCACTGCAGCAGCTCAAAAGCCCCCTGCAGCAGCAAAGGTGGTCGGCACTCAAAAGAGGCAGAGGATGTCTCCCCACTAGCAAGAGCGGTGCTATAGCGCAGCACCTCTAGGCTCAGAAGGGCCTTGCACACGGCACACAACCCCTGTATGCCAAATAGCGTCTTTCGTAGCTGCTGTTGGTTGTGTCTCGGGAGAAGGGTACTCTCTAAGGATCTCTGGGGAGAAGAGGCGTGAGATCCTTTATGTAAGGCTTCCAAGGAGGGAAGAGGCCCACTAGGCGCCTCTTCTGTAGCTGTTTCAGCTGTTGTCTCAGTTATTCCTGCTGCTGTTGCTGCCAATCGTGCAATGAGCACAGCAGCATCTCTGGCTAGCGGCAGCTGCGGGCTACCCATAGCCGCGGCACTGACAAGGAGCGCTGCTGCCGTTGGTGCATCTGCTACGGCTTTTGATGCTTCGTATCCTGCTGTTTTTGCTGCTGCGAGTTGATGCTGCAACAGCTGCCGCGCCCTGCTCGCGAGCGCCTCCCTTACTCCTGCGATGATAGGAGTGGTGCTTTCGTGCAGAAGCAGCTGCGAGGCAAGGTTCCCTAAAGCCTGCATAGACACAGCAACCTGCTGGAGGTTGAGGGAGGGAAGGATCTGTTGCTGCCGCTGCAGCAGTATTAGCAGTAGCTCGCGCTCCTCTTCCCAGTCGCTTTCTCGTCGTATAGCACTATCGTATCGCTCCACAAGAATGTCTGGTGTATTGGCTGCGGCTGAGACACGACTGCCGTTCTTGCTACTGCTGCTGGCAAGCGCATGCAGCTCAATGGTGACTGCAGCTGCATTCAGCTTGGGGCCCCTCCTAAAGAGGCCGGCCCTTTTCGTTTGTTGTTGCGACGCTGTAGCAAGGGCACTTCGAGCAAGCGTAGACGGCAGCAGCTGCAGCACAGCAGCAGGCAGCTCCTCGCGCTGCTGCTGCTCCTGATGCTTCTGTTTCTGCAGCACCTGCATCCGCTGCAGCTGCGGGTGGCATCCCCATGGGAAGGTCTCTACTTCTTGAGCCGCTGGGGAGATCTCCATGCCTTCCTCTGAGGAGGCGAGCTGTAGCGAAGCTAGCTCCCCCGCGGCTTGTAGAGGAGAGTCTGAAGCCTTCTCATACCCCCAAGGAGCCGCAGGTTTCAAGCTTCCTGCAGAAGAAGCCGACGGGAGCTTTCGCGCGGCTGGCAAAGAGGCGAAGCAAGCGCAGGCAATCCAGGGGCCCCCCAGAAGTCTTGCAGGACTAAGGCACTGTCCTATGGGAAGCGGGAGGGCATGCAGAGTACAGGGAGTAGTCCACCTCCTGCATCCTGTTGCGGCTTTTGCGCGGGGTATCATTGGCATGCACGAGCACATGAGCGTCTATTTCCGCCAAAGGTAATTATGCTGCCAAATTCTAAGCCCCAGTACCAAGGTCCTCAGAGAACCCTCCCTCCTGCAGCCGAATACACTTTGAAGCGTCGGCGCAGGTGCCTTCGCAGGACCTCTTCACGGCACGTCTCGAGGGAAGGACAGGAAGCAGGAAGCTGTTGGTCTACAGCTACAACGCACGTTTTAAATTAAGATTTAATTTTCAAGGTGCAAGTAAAGCCCTAAAACGCTTTTGCGCGCACAGAAGAAGCAGGCCTCTGGCTCCCCCCTCTAGCAGCCTTCGCTGGTTACCCGAAACCTCGGGGTCTTTTTCTTGAACTCAATAGAGGCACAAGAGGCATCCCATTCATGTTTCCCGTTGAACGCAAATCCTTCCAGTATGCGCCACATGTTTAATGCAAGAAAATAGAATCCGTGCTCAAAGTCCTTGGCCAGAGTACCTTCCCGTCAACGTAATTCTCCATGACCTGCTACGCATCAACATTCTCAAGCTACACTCCATTTAATCGTCAATCACGAAGTGATTGCGGGGCTTTCTTGGGCCTGAGGCTTGTTTAAGTGCTTATAAGGCGAGCATATCCCCCTCAGTGGGACTTGCGTGTCCAACGCACCCGCAGGCATACATTTGAAACTCTCCCCCTGAACACCAGAGGAGAACCTAAATTACTTACCTGAAGAATACAAACTCAGACACTGCGAGCCCAAAATCTGACTGCAGTGCATGCCGTGTAATCGCGGATGAGTATAGGTAGCGGGCTTTGTAAGCATCAACACACATCAACTCAGACTTCGAAAACAATTGTCTGGCTGGCGTATCTGTCTATACAGATATACATTTTTACTGCAGAGTACTGTAAACTCAATACAAAAAGGCGCGAGATTGTGTGCGTATGTGCGCGAGCCTCGACGCCTCTAGCTGTGAATGCTCGGAATGTTTAGAGAGTGCAGTAACTCACACACTAGCTGTCCCCCTCTTCTCATGCAGGGAACTCTGAGGGGCTCTTCAAGGGGAATAAGGGAGGTCTTTGGAAAGCTCTGCTTGACTTATGATCTGGTTTGTAATGAAGCGTGTCACAGCATAAACCCACGAGAGTGGTTCTCTATGGCCGGTTGAACCATAGGAATCCTTGCAGGTAGACGGATTGCTACGCACCCTTAGAGCTACCACAAATATGCTCTTCCCTTTAATCAGCGTGTGCCAAGGGACATTGGCCTCTCCTCACCTTACAAGTACGAAGCGAGGTTCATCTCCCACGAGCTGGTGAAACCTTTAGTTACTTGCTCATGCTTTCGGGGGTCGTTATCTCCCTGTTTTCGAAACTTCATCTACGCATCCACAAACGTTTTGTCGGCTGGCAACCCGTGCTTTGAGCAGTCGTGGAGCTAGTGCTTTCACATTGTGCTTTGGCAACGCCTCTATCTACGACCGAGGCCATGGAGGCGTGGTGCCCCATCATAAACTTTAATGGGTGTGAGTGCTTTTCAACGGTTTAGATGTAGTGTGAGCCATCGTCGATGTACACAGTCATCGTACCTTCTTATGAGGCTTATGAAACACCGTTTTACATGCCGTTGCACTTTAGCTGGGGATTAAGCAGTCCAAACGACACACAGAAATGCTCTCTACACTTCCGGGTGAGAGACGCTGTTCTTCGGCTACACGGGGAAAGATGGGGATTTGAAAGAGAGTATCTGTGAAGCTGAAGATCTAGTTGACTCTTTATTTATGTAACTTGTCAAGTAGTTCGTTAACATGAGGTAGGGTGATCTCTGCTTTAAAGGGATGTTGTACAGGGGCTTTGAGGTCAGCGCTTTTGATATGATCCTGCCGTGGCACTAAAAAGAAAGGGCCTCTCCTTAGACCTATGGAGAGAATATACTTAGCCATCTGTGCTTTTTCACTTGCATGTGCATGTGTAGGCCGTGTGAGTGGATATAATCCTACACTGACTTCGTGCACAAGTGCAGACGCCTGATATTGTATATATATCTGTATGTAATTAAACTATGTTTTCGTCGAAGCAGTCAGAAAGACAAGCAACAGCTGCGTATACTTGTAGAGTAATGCAAATTTTTGATTGTGCATCTGTCTACGTACCCCAGCTGTGACCCTTGAAATTTTCGTCTTGTGGAACAGACCTAGGTAGCTTTCTGTGCAAGAGCAAAATTATCCTCCCATATATGATTCTTTGGAAGTTCTTCTAAGTTTTTCATGCCAGATCAAAGAAATATATATGTATGTTATATATACCGAGCGCATTGTTATATACATGTTTTTATAGGTCTATCAACTCCACACGCCCCCACGCCAGCACATCCTATTACGGGGTATAGTGTCAGCAGCTAGATGCAACACGGCGAATTTATTATGTCTCGTTGCTGTGCAGCGGTGGCTGTGGTTGCATCTGCTCATGCAGGGCTGGTGCCGCAGAAGACCTTTGGGTGCTAACACTATTCTTGGAAAAGTAGGAGCGTAGCCTTCAAATAACATCCTTTGCACCAAACGAATGACTGGCCTCTGCGCAATATCCAGTACCCGCTATCGCTGCTCCCCCCTCTCCTGCACCATCCATTGCAGATACATCCCGGGTTTAGTCGTGGCCTAGGAGAGAAGTGGTATCGTGATCATCAGCCTGTTCCCTGTCTCCTCGCCCCATTTCGAGCTGCTTCTTCTTGAAGCTGTGGCTCTTTCTGCCCTTGCTGCAGCAATGGTCATGGTGACCTAGTCTGTGCTTAAGTCTATGGGACAAGAAGTTGCTGCACAGCAGCAATCCAGCGCCTATTAGTGAAACAAGGGTGTGGTGCGTGCTGACCAAACGTAGCACTACAGCATACCACTGCTGGTCTGTTTCCTCGTGGGCCTCCTGCTGCCCCTGCGTCGCATCTTGCTGTTCCTCCTCCTTCTGATTCTGCTCTAGATGCTGCTCATGATGGCTGTGGCTTGGAGACTCCTGCTTCTGCGATGCAGCAGCAGGTAAATGCATGTGTTCGTGCCCGTGATCGTGGAAGCTGCATCCAGCGTGTGCAACGAGCACCAGAAACAACCCCGCAACTCCCATCAGCAGTAGCCGCCTCTTTCGGAGCTGAATATAGTTTGCAGCTACAGCAAAGCCGCCGAGGGGCAGCACCACATACATTGCCACCTGCACACACACATGCGTAGGCGCAGATGAGCGGACAGCGCCATGAGTCGTACAGACACGGAGTGGGCTGATCAGCTAGACAGCCACTTCAAGGACACACTTCATGTGCAAGGGGCAAGGGTGTAGGCAGTCAAAGGAAGAGTTCGCGGCAGAGACTGACTGCACTGCATGTCCAGCCAGCCAGTGCTGCCACAGGCGGAGCTACTCAAGACCACATAGAAAAACATCCAGCTGGCCACGTATGTATGTGTACGTGAGCAATTTTGTACAGATCGGGAAGATAAAGGGTGAGGTATACCCATCGAGAGGCGGTGTGTATGGCTTCGAGGTGCTGTGTGTCGGCTACAAAGCCTGCCAAAGGAATCGCTGCCGTGAGCAGCGGTAGCAGAGTGCAGTCAAGGGCACATAGAATTGCCGCGAAATTGCTCCATTCAGACAGCCCCCATCTACGCCACACGCCACACACAGAAAGGTCCCCTAAAAATTCACACAGGGGAAGTCTAGTGGGCTTTGAATCGACAGGATTGTCAGTCAGGAACCAGTCCTCCACATTTGGCTATGGCCACTACAACTGAATTTCCTGGAGCAGCGTGTGCTACACTTTGAGAAGCTGGAAACCTCACTTCGTGATATTCAAGCTATGACGGTGGGAGTGCTACAAGAGTGCGCAAAACAGATGCAGCACAGCACTCATAACTCTCCCCACGCACAGCATGAAGCTTCTGCCCCCGTGTAAAAGAACCCCTCTGCATCAGAGTATTTGTGACGGCGCGTGCAGGAAATGGGGCTTTGCATTGGGAATATGGGGAGAATGACCTGGGAATCGCAGTGTTCATGCATTTTGCGATGTCGCTTCGTGACGATGGGAAGGGGTGTGCTGAGCTTGTTTGATTTTCCTGGAGGACTGGTGGCCACCTGTCTGCCTATGTCGTACCAAGTGCGTGAGTGCAGCGGCAGGAATAACTGCCGGTGCTGTTGCTGAGCCAGCGAGTGCAGCAATGGACCTGGGAAAGTCAGCGGCGCTGGTTGCGGCTGCCGCCGTTGCAAGAGCGATAAGGAATCATGGGTATACGTACAAAGAGAAGCGGCTGCAGCAACAAAGGCGGGGTGAACACTCGCCGCAAGAGCAGCGGCAGCAGTCGTAGAGCGGAACGCTTCAGCAGCAGACCGCACAGGCCAAGTGCAAAGTCCACGAGAGGAAGCCCGCTGCCTTCTCCCGCGAATACAAGCCCGAAGCATCTGATGGGCCGGCTCTCTGGCTAGTCCAGCCCACAAGTATCCGTTTGATGCATCCACCAAGTCAACTTTCTACACCGTACACCGATGGTCATTCAAAACACTGGCGATGAGAGGCCGATGCCACACACCGAAGCCAAGACGCCGCAGTGCATCAAACTAAAATGGCACGCAAAACTCTAAGAAACTGTCTACATTCGGATCGCGCCAAAAGCTGTAGGCACGGCGTCATGAAAAATCAACCATTACAAGCGACGACCCATCCGCAGCCCCGCAACGCAGCGCCTGCATTTTAGACCTTCAGTCCATAGTTTTAAAGGAAATATTGCTGCAAAACTACTAGAATCATCATGTGCACGGTTTATTTGTAGGGACTTTCTGGAGGAGTGGGCGCATTTAGCCTCTCTGTAAATGCACGAAGATGCGCGGATGAAGCGCCAGGCCACATGAGTTATGCTATGCGGGTTCTTCCTTTGTTTTTCGATAAGGAACCACCATCGTCGCGCTTTAGAGTGCAAGAGCGTTGTGATCAGTTTTGAATTGTGCGCGTACCCGCTTACGGTATGGGGTGTAGCGCATTACGCTGCTCGACCGGGGTGTGAGTGGGCCTGTGGATCATCTGTGCACATCGCATTTTCACTACCCTACTGCAAACCCCCAGCCATCTCCGTGAAGCCACAAGCTTCCACACGCGCAGGTCGAGCCTTCACACACTCTGAACAAACTTGCCTGTGAAGATGTCTGCCTTGGCTCTTACAGACGCGAGGGCATTTGCGGCGTCGTTGGATGCAGAAATCCGCTCTCTCTCCAACTTGGGGTACAAAGTCTTAGACACACCGGAGCACAGCCTATCTCTGCTTCTCGAGCAGTATGAGGCGTTCGTATTTGACATCGACGGGGTGCTGCTTTGGGGGTCGGCAGCGCTGGCGGCCGTCGGGGACGCCGTACAGCAGCTGAGGCGTCAAGAAAAAAGGCTCGTGTTTCTCACGAACACTGCTGCGAAAAGCAGAAGAAGCTGCGCAGAGGGGCTGCGTAGGGCCGGCATCGAGGTTTACGAAGAAGAGGTCAGTAAGGACGCTAGGCAGGCATACCAACCTACTATGAGGCGTGTTTCAGGGAGCTGGAGACTACAGAGTGGTCCAAGACTTAGCGAGAGAGAGAGATACATATATATATGTATATCTATATAGTGAGGGGAAACTAGGTATAGGTGTGCAGAAAGAGATGCCAAATATGGAGGCGCCAACGCCTGTGGCAGGCCGTGCACGTGACAGGAAAGCAGCAGCAACAGCAAAGTCTGCGGCATCATAGGGGGAGAATTCCCTCGACAACTCTTTTTTGTGTCAAATCGAATTTGGTCTCCTGCGGCACGCCTCGAGCGTCCTTTCTAAAACAGGAAAAGCCCGAAAATTTTGGCTCTATAGAAGGAGTGTACGCGTGTATGTCTTCAGGTGATTACCATGGCGTATGCAGCGGCAGTGTTCGTTAGAGAGGCGCATCCGGAGGCTTCCGTGGCCTTTGGCATAGGAGAGGCTGCAATGAAGGAGGAGTTTGCTGCTTCGGGCATCCTGTTGCTGTATGCGAAGCCCCAAGGGGAGCCAGAGCGGCAACACGTACAGCAGTTGGAGGGGCCGTTGCTCACTGCAGACACTGTTGAGCACTCCTCGACTGCGAAAAAATGCAATGGGTGTAGCGGCATGCAAGAGCAACAGGAAATTGCAGCCGCGGCGGGCGGTGCCATAATCGAGGACTGCCTAGATCCCCGAGTGAGTGCCGTTGTTGTTGGATGGGACAGGGCTTTCGACTATCACAAAATGGCACTTGCCTGCCTGTATCTTCAGCAAAAAAAGCCTTCCTTGCAGCAGCACGCAGAACGGCAGGGGCATCTCAAAGAGGAGAGAGACGCAGAACTGGGGAATCTGCCTTTTGTGGCAACCAACCGTGATGCGTACAACCGGATCAATGGGCTGCGTCACCCCGCAAACGGTGCTCAGTTAGCGGCTATCGAGGCCGTAGTGGGGCGGCAAGCAGTGTGCGTGGGAAAAGAATCGGCGTGGCTAGCCAAGTGGTTGCCCACACACCTGAATCTGAACCCTCAAAAGACACTAGTGGTAGGCGATAGGCTGGACACAGACATGCGATTCGCTGCTAACATTGGGGCCGCCTCACTCCTGGTGCTGACCGGCTGCACCACCCCACAGCAGCTGGAAACCTTAGGCGCTGATAAACCCCTCGCGCCCACCTACATTATCCCCCACGTGGGACAGCTAGCTGATGGATTCAAGCAATAGCCATGCCCCCCCAGCTAGCTCTCTGTTCGCTTTGGCTTGCTCCATGGGAATCACAGACTTTAGGGACCGGCCGCGCTGGCTTAGAGATGCCTTGCGGCCACCTAGGGACCCACCACGCCCAACCGAAGACGTGCGAGGCTCTTTGTTTGAGTACAATTCCTGTTGCGCTCCTCCCTCAAGCGCAGTCGTTTAGACCTTCTATGGGTGTTATGAACTTGGCGGAACAGGGCACCGCGTCTGCCTGACCAAGTCTATTGTACGCTCGCTGCTCCCTAGATGGCTTAAAGTTACCAGCGACTAGCCAGTGTTCAAACGAAGCGAAGCACAGTTCAACCTATATGGCAGTCTCAGCAAACTTGAAGACGTTAAATCGACGCATTTTTTAGTAGAGCTACATGCACCACCAAGGTGTTCTCTGCACTTTAGGCAGCGGAGAGTGTGACACAATGGCACTTTTCTACTGCGCTGCTACGAAGTCACTTCCTTTGCTCTATGACCAGATTGGCCAGGGCGGAGCGAGCTGTGATTGCTACTTCTACTCTTCGACAATCCCAACGAACGGTTTTGAGACTCTCTGAGAGCCGCAACAGACTGCTTCGCTGGCGAACCGGCAGAACTTTTACGCGATATTCCTGCCTGCTCTTCCGCCGCTTGATGTTGTTGCGAGGTGCTTCGCTGTCTCTGGACCTGTCGGAGTGCTGCTCCATTAGCCCTCCCGTTGGTCCGCTTCCCAGCGGCAGCCTTGCCCGCTGGCTGGTTGCTGCCTCCTGCCGCTGCTGAGGCCTCTTCTTCCTTCTTAAACTTGGGTAGGGGCCTCAGGTGCCACACACCCTGCCCCTCGCGGATCTCCCGCAGCCGTTGCAGCAGCAGCTTGTCCTCCTGCAGCAGCCCCCTTTCGAAAGACTCTCTCTTGGCTGTCCTCTGCAGCAACTCCAGCTCGGTCTTCTCTGCCTCAGCACGAACCTGTGTCACAGCAACAAGAGACAGCAGCGAGTTCCACGCCGTAAGGCACAGACACCGCCCCCCGCCGTGCTGCAAGGCGGAGCTGCTTTCTGGATTTTGGGAGACGAAGACTGCGTCCGATTCAGCAAGAGCAAGGTCAGGAACAGCATCATCAGGAACCACATCATGCGGTAGTTGATACACACCCTGGCGGCAAGTTTGTGATCGTCGCCGTTCTTGATGCGCTGAGCCATGAACTTAGCTTCTGCTGCCCGCTGAAGCTGCCCTCTGTCGCTGGCGCGCTGCTCGAGAGACAGCCCAGGGGGTTCCAACAAGGGGACTGAGCCAAACTGCAGTTTGTGGGGCCGGCGGGCCTCTGCAGCAAGCGGAGGCACATGCATGCGCAGATAGCACACGTGGATGCAGACATTCAGGCAGTCAGCTGAGGAAAGACTCCTCCAAAGAAGGAGTAGAGAGCACCGCCACTGCCCAGCAGAGACCGAGGTCAGGTTTTTTCAGAAATGGGGCAGATTTATGGGTAAACTGGAGCAGGGGTCATCTGACTGCATAGCGGCAAAATGCGACCACAACGTTAAATATAAAGCGAACTGAAAGTACCACAGCAAGTGGCACCCATACAAAATGCCTTACAGAGAGCACAGTCAAGCCCCCCATCCATCTGATACCCATTTATGAAGTACGTGAAGAAGCGCATTTGATATGAAGGAGCTTTCTGAAATAGCAACGTCTACGCCTCGCTACCTGTCTTTGTGAGGGAAATCCCCAGTATGGCGTCGCGGACGAGCATTTCGGTTATGCTCATTGCATAGGGAGGATCCTTGTCCCTGAACCACAGAAGCAAAAGTTGTAAACCCTTGCACTTGTTCTAGACCCAGAGTGTAGGTACGCCAGGAACACCGCTTGTCGTGTATCTTCTGATGAAGGGAAACGCTGTGAAACTCTACAGCCCAACTCCGAGCTTGACAGCATATGCCGGAAACTCCCTCCCTCTTACGTGCAGATTTCTACAAAGCTCGTCTCCTTGGAGGCCCATTCTGAGGGATCGGCATCGCCGAGGTACTTGGCAAATACAGAGACAAACGTTTCAAACCTGTGCGCAGTAAGCATTAGCATTTTATTGTGTTGGAAAGTCAGTGTGGCCTGCGCTCCCCCGAGTCGCTTGTTTCTGGGTGGTGTTTTGTATGCCAGCGAGAACATCTCAGGCCATGCCCCTAGTTGAAGGGTGGTGTGGTGTGTCAGGCACTGACGTCATTTTAAGGTCGTCCGTCGCCCTTTCGTTGGCGATGAGGTGAGACTCGACGAGCCTCACAGAATTCAGCATAGCTCGCAGCTTCTGCTCCCCCGCGCGGGTCTGCAGCCGGATACACCCAGGTACGACGAAGGTTTGAGAGCTGCGCATTGACACACTTTCACGCACAATAATCACAGTCTCGTTTTTCCACGAACTGAAAGCCGGCGAGGAACACGGGCCAGCCGGCCAAATATCGAGATGTGGACTCGTGCCTACCACTTCTAGCAGCTCGTCTCTGTTCCTGAAGACCTTTCCCAGCCATTTCTGCCACTGGGGCTTCTCCTCACTCCCCTTCTCGCGTTTTCGTTTGATTCCAAATATTTCAAAGAGCCGCTCATCCCTCTGCAGAACCCAAGAGAAATCCTTTGTGCGGAGCCAGCCGGAATCGTCTGAACATCCGCGATTGAATGCCTCCCATAAGAGACAGAGATTCTCGGTCTCCTTCTCGGTCCTTCCTCCCACTTTCTGCTGCAGCAAAGTGTCGTAGCGCCTCTTTATCAACTCAACCTCCTTGGCTCCCTTCCTCTCTAGCTGCCTTGTCTTTGTATTCAGTACCAGCGTAGAGGACTCGGACGCTCTCGAGGACTCTGGTTTCGCTGCTGCCGCTGCCGCTGCCGCTGCATCTGCCTCGGCCCGAAGAATTGCCTCCTCCCGACTCTCTCTACAGGGGACTGGTGCGTTTGGCGGTCTCAGGGGCTCAACAGCTTGTGGCTGCCGATACAGCTGGAATCTGCACTTTTCCGACACCCCCGCCCAGTATTGTGCGCTCAGCGGCTCTCCTTCAATCTCCCCGAACTTAACCCTCCTTTCCCTCAGTCCTCGCTCCTTTCTCCATCTTTGGAGGCTTCCAGCATCAGAGGCGGACCCCCAAATGCTTTCCACCGTGCTGTGCAAAGTTTGCTGATTGGCTTTGAAAGAGTCCCCACTGCAGCTGCCGTGGCTGTCACTCAAAGAGCCTCCATGGACCCCTAACCGCCCTGTAGAAAAAGGCAAAACCAAGTCGTTTGCTGGAGGTTCTTCTATCTGGGCTGCCAAGGGGTCCCTTGTACCTCGGAGCGTTTGCGCAGTGTAGATCTGGCCAGGAACGAGGCCTACCCGTAGCGGCGATGATTTGGACATTGTGTCTTTGGAATCACGTTAAAAACAATGAAGAAAACAGTAAATATGGGCATAAAAAGCCGGAGAAAACACATTTATGCCAAGCAATAGCACAGCCGCGTGGGCAAACTGCCCATGCAGCACAGGAGACACCGAGTACAGTTCACGGACTTTGTTGTCACTCTTAAGGTTCAAGTGGAACTCACTAAAACAGGATAAAAGGCTACGATTACGCCCCTGAAGTCGAACTTTTGGAGCTTTGAGCTTAAGATAATTTGCAGGCTCCAAGGCGGTAGCGGTCTGGCCTGGCCCCCGCCCGCCTGAACCCGTCCTTCCCATGAGCTTTCCGTGCATTTCCTAGCAAAGAAGGAAGATCATATCAATGGTTAATTTAACTTAATGTTTACTGGTTTTTTATTTGCTTGTCTACCGAGGTAAATGCATCAAGCGGCGGCAAAGATGCCCTTTTAGGGAACGCCATTGGCCTCTTTCCCAGACCTGAGATGGTTCAATTCGAATATTTGGACGCCCGCTAATGTTGATACCACTGCCGACGCACTCAACTATGGCATTATACCCACTTAGAAGCACTGTAAGTGGGCCTAATTCGATTTGTTGGGGCTAAAATTGGCTGTTAGCACTCTTGGGAGTGCCACTGTTGCTGTACTAATCTTTCCGAGAGAGCCAAAACGGCCCCCCAACCGCTGGACATAATCTGAAGGCTGTGCTTGCTGTCTGCTTCGCAGTTTCCAGTGAGCGGTACAGCTGTAACTCAAAGCTTATCCACACAAAGTGAACGGACCAGCAGCTGCGCACCCCTGCCTGCGTGGCTCCTCAGACTCAAAGGGAATCATCACTGCAGTGGCCTGGATCAGACGAGTACCCTGTGAGTGCAGCTGCATGCATACATTATACGTAAGCAAGCCGCTGGAAGAATACTTGTGCGCAGGGAGCACGTCTAGAAGTTGAGTCTTGAGGGGGGCCAGGGTCGGCAGGCGTCCCTTGCTGCAGGCTCTTCTCCGCATTGTCTTCAGCACACAACTGCACAAACGCCATCTCCAAAAAAAGTCTTTTACACTGGATCCGCACACCTACCTCCCTATGTTGCGGTTTCTTGACTCTGCGACTGTTGACATTGTACTTGCCTTTATCGGGATGAGCTATAACTGGTGTTGGCTGTGTGGTATGACTCTCCACTCGTTGCATATAGGGTGCTCCATGCAAAATATTGTGATCGATAAATTCTCTAGTATGGCCATTCTTAGGGTGTCATGAAAACTTCTTGGCGCTTGCCGTATGAAAGTTCCACTGCTCTTTGGGGGACCGTTTCCGCCTCGTATGCTCGTGTGTGGCCTTGCTAGGCCGCATACATCTATTCTTCATCGAAAGCGCTTATTGCTACGGCTGCAGTCATAATGAGGTATGAGGCCAGCGGAGTTGGGGAGGCTGTCGTCCCTGTGCCTTCGATGGACGTTGGTGGTACAGTGTGGGGCTAATGCGCAATCCCAGAACAGGGGACTGGACACAGAAGGTAAAAGGGAGAAGCGGAGGAAAAGACTCCAAATAGCTTTAGAGGGCACACCCATACATTGCAGAAAGAACAGGCATTGTAGGGGACCGAGTCCATGCGCGTAATCCTTTTAGTGACCTCTCGCAGCAGCTATAGGTCTTGCTGTGTCAATTAAAGCTTCCGTGGCTTTTGTTTTCCTTGATACCTGACTCCAAAGCAGCCCCATAAATGAACAACTTTCGGTCAAAGGGGCACAAAAACCCATTTACGCCTGATACTTTCTGCTAACAAGAGGCCCAGTATGTGACTTCGCTGTCGCTGTCAACCCTTTCCAGTAAAACTCGATCCCGTTTGCCTCTTACCCCAAAGGAACGGCTTACAGGTTGCCTGTCTTACTATGTTGAGGCTCCAAGTGCATACTCGAACAGTGCAAATAAACAACACTAGCAGAGGGCAGCCCACCCGGCGCATCCCGCAGGGTCACCTAAGGGCCCCTTCCCGGTCCACGCTCTGTTTGTTGCAAATCGGAGCATTTCTCTTGCTTCATTTTGTAGATTTCACTGGAAGTTTAAGGTTGATTTAGTACAGTCAAAGGATCTCCTCATAGTCGCAGACTGAGCAGTTCCACTAGGGGGCCCTGCAATGGCGGTGCAGTGGGTCAGGGCGGTCCTGGGGCCGCTGCGCCTGCTCTGGCAGATCAGCGTATTCTGCCACGAGACTGATGCCCCCCTTGGTTCTCAAAAAAAAGAATTTAAATCGACAAGGTAAAAAAGGAACATAGGAGTATCACACTGAGGCCGTCCTTCTCCCCGCGCGCGACCACGGAACCCTTATCCTTTCTCGAAGGTCACTCTCGCGAGTCTCCACCCAGCAAGCAGAAACGCTGCTTTCATAGGGGGCCTTGGTGGCCCTTAAGGGCCCACATGCGCCCCAATAGGCCTCTCTTAGGTTTTTCGGGGTACCCCTATGGGGGAAGCCTCTCCCTGGAAAGGCGATCTCGATGTCTGCTAACCTCCGAAGGGCGTACAAGGAGCCCTCACAGCAGGACAAGAATTAGAATCATTCAACAATGAAAGACGATGGAAGCCAGTCTCGGCAGAGGGTTGTGCCCTCGAGCGTGTTGTGCCCGAAGACAAGAGAAACTGGAAGCAGACGCAGACTGCCGCGTTGCATCTACCAGGCGAATCACTACGACTCATTTGGTGCGTAGGAGCGTGGCAGACACGTGGCCCTTGCATGCCTTGTCGTTGTTCCTCGCTGCCTCCTTTCCGCTTTAATGTTGCTTCCTTTTTCCTGGGGTCTCTCTGTCTATTCATGCGTCTCGATCTGCTTCGGCTGTCTCCCCGAAGAGCTGCCCACGCCTCTGCACTCGGCTGCCTTCTCCCTGGACACCCCGGCTTTGGCTGTCTCCTTGGACGGCGGGGGACTTATCTTCTTCGACCTGTGCGCTGCCAACACGGCAGTTGCCGCAGCGCCGGAGCACGTTGGTGAGTCCGTGCAAAAGAGGAAGGAAAGCGGTAGGGGCAGTCCTCCTCGCAGCAAACCAGGCATGCACGCGCGCTAATCCTACGGCTGCAATACCATTGCGACGCATGCCGCAGAAGTCGCATGTTCAGAGGCACTGAAGAGCGGCAACGCTAGCAGCTGCGGCAGTCACAGCGGCACCTGCTGCTAGGCCTCCCCTGTACACTATTTGCGCTCAGGCCGAGTGAGGCTTGTGTGCTTTGGACCCACGAATTCCTTTGGAGACTCCACGCTTTATGGAGCTTGCGAGGTGACTGCCTTGCTGCTGCTGCTGCTTTTTCTGATGCTGCAGATGCCGTTACTCCTTGTGCTGCTGCTTCTGCTGCTGCCATTTTAGCAGTCTCCTAGAGTACATAAGCTTCTCTTTTATGTGAACGCCCCTGATACCCTCGTGAGGGCCCTTGCACACATCTTGTCTTTTGAAGGCTGCTGGTGCTGCTCTTGAGGCCTACTGTTGAGCGCTTTTCTGATTGACGCAGGATGGTACGATCCGTCGCTGGGTCCTTCGAGGCTTTGAAGACCTTGTGGAAATTGAATCCAGTCCGTTCACACAAATGCGGCACTTAAGAGGGCGTGCATGTTCAAGAGACGTTCTGCGCCTTGCTCGTGGGGCCCTTTGACCGCTTCCTGAGAAGCCTTCAGTACACTTTGACGCACCTGTGCTTTGCGCAAGGTTTTGCAAGCTTCACGGCCTTTCTCTCTCGGGGACGAACCAAGGGTGACGGGCTGCTTTCTCTGAGTTGTGCCTAAGTGGTGTAAAAAAAAAAAATCTGCTGCTGCTCCGGTGCTTTTGCTGCCGCCGCAGTTCCCTTCAAAGAGGAAGTGGTGTCTCTGTTTCTCAGTCATTCGGGCCGCTCTGTAGTGGCAGTAGGTAAGAGCTAGAACCGAGGTTGTGAGGTGATATTAAGCAGCAATGCTGCGTCGGCAGCGTGTTTTGCCGGTCTCTTTCTAAAAAAGAGCAGTAGCCATTACATCGCATCCTCTAGAGAGGATACGTCCCATTTGCTTCTCTTCCTCGCTCTACTGCATCTCTGCTTCCTTTGCTGCTCACGTTCCCCAGCCCACTTCTAACCCAGTGTAGTTTCCCCCTTTTTGTCTCCTCGTAATGGCTAAGGGCGCGTCGGTCTCGTGATGGTTGCCAGCACGCTTTACTCGGAGTGTCTACAGTACACACGACTGCAGTGGCCAGCGAGGCCGCATGATGGCTTCAGCTGCCCTGTTGCGCCGTCTCATGAAAACCCGAACAGCAGCTGCTACGGCAACAGCTGCAGATTCGACCAGCATTGGTGTTCGCGTCGGAGCTGCGAAGTGGCGGAGGCCCAGGTCTCTCATGCTGAATCTGCCCACACATCCCCCAGTGCAATCGGCACTGAAGTCTCGGCATGTGTTTTGCTGGCGGATGTCTTGCTGCATCCCAGAGCGCCGGAAAGTGCAGACATCTTCTACGTGGCAATTACGTCGCCAACGCATGGATTGATGGTCCTCAACATTATCTTGAGCGAGCCTGAGTACACGCACGAGTTCTCCGCCTCCCTACTCCTCACTAGACACCTTCCCGGCTGCTTCTCCGGCCTCAGTGCAACAACCGCGCCACTGCCCGAAGGACTCCTCTTTCCAGCAGACCAGCAGCAGCAACAGCCGCCACAGCAGCTGCCACGACAGCAATCGCAGGTGCTGCGGAATGAGGGGCTGTTGTCGCTTGATTCTCTGGCATCCGTGGAGCTGAGGGGCACGTACCTGACCCGTGTAGAGGAAGCTTCCCGCGAGGACCTTTCGACGTATGCGGGAACTAATGTACTTTTTTTGGCATGTCTGTCACCGCGTTCCAGGCTGTTGACTCTCGTATGTCTCATTCCTAATGCTTACGAGTACCCGGGTTGCGATGTGCATGCAACAGTCGTAGAGCTAGCACCCATGGGAGACCTCGGGGGGCCTCCAGAAGAACTCTCTGGGGCCCCTTGGCCGCGTCATGGGGGCCTCGTGCTGACCTGGTTGGGGGGCGAAGGAGAGGCAACCGACTTGGGAGCTGTCGCCGAGGACGAAGAGGGAGAAATAGAGAGAGAAACCGAAGAGGCACTCCTCAGCAAACAAAGGGAGTGCTGCCGACGCTACAGGAGACTCCTCTGTGTTGGGGCCTCTACGAGCTCCGTCTTTGTTTATGAGATCTCGTTCTACAGGTCTCCCGGTGACTCCCCCACCAGCACCACCAAAGCAAGCGTGGCAGCGGAGCAACCGGGAGAGCAGAGAAGGAAACTTGTACCAAACCTGCGCTTTAGGCTGAGGCTAGTATACAGGTTGGATGGTAACCGAGGTAGCGGGCAGCTTCTGGTAGTTCCCCCCAGCATTGTGGGTGGCCGACGAGTCCTCGCCTGCAGCAGTGGCCCCCACCTGCTGAACCTCTTTGAATTTACGCTTCTACCCAATCCCGACCTCTTTGCGCTGCCTCCTGAGAGCGCCTCGGCTACAGAAACGGCTGGAGAAAATGATGCAGGGGCCCTCAGCCGCCAGCAGCAAGCAGCCTTTGATGCGGAGCACCACGCAGCAGCAAGCACGCAATACATCGCGCACCTGCAAGCCGCCTTCTCTAATGCGGCTGCCGCTGGTGCGGTTGCCAGGTCGCAGCAAGCAGCAGCCGAACCACAAAATTCAAGCGTCGTTGTGCATCACAACGCAGAACTTCAAATGCAGCACCTCATGCAGCCGTCTCTTCGGGAAGCGGCATCAGGAGGAGCATCAGAAAATCCGCAGCAGGACGCAGCCCTTAAGCGGCAGATCGAACAGATCACCGCTGACCTGGAGGCTTGCACTCTGAACAATCGGCAGCTGGAGCGTATGCAGCAACAGCAACTGCGGCAACAGGCCGACAGCCGACCCCCCTGGAATAGCCGTTTCTCTGTCAAGGGATCAGAGTATGACCACCTTTTTGCGTGAGGCACGAGCAAGCAGCACTCTTACTGCGTCGCAATCAAGGCATCAGCGGTGCCAGGTAGCTCTTAAGGCCAAAGTGAATCTGCATAATCACTAGAGAGGGCACTGCTGCTGCTGCCGCACATCAGTTTAGGTGGTGGATCAGCTACTGCTGCCTCGTTCAATAGGCATCCATTCGCCGGCGTTGTCAACGTTTTAAGCGGGGTCATGAAGATTCAGGTAGCTGCATAATCTATCCAGGTGTACTAAAAGCATGAACAAGCACCCCTGCAGGTAACGAAGAGTCTGATCTACGCGGCCGCTGGTCAGGGTGCCCCACACCTCACTTTGTTTTAGCATGAAGGCCACAGAGATACGGGCAACACAGCTAGTTAGAACGAGGGATTGGGGAACTTATAAAATCTGATGGGGAACCCGTGCCCATGGGGGCATAGCGCAGAAAAGGCATTTGGCATTGACGAAGAGGAGTACAAGTGAAGAGAGCCACAGACATACACACGAACAACGGCGAAGGCGCACTTAGGGTCTCACAAAAGCACAGTACAGTGGTAGAGAGGGGATGAGAGACAGCAGGACAGAGACCTATGGGGAGAGAAGTGAAGTGGAGACGTGGGAGATAGAGAGAGAGAGTTGCACGAAAAGTTGCACGCCCCCATTTCCTCCAGCCTTTTTTCCCATCCCCAGCATTGAAGCGGAGAATAGCTGAGAGCAGTAGCTTCCCCAGCTTTTATGCAACGCTGTTGAAGGCCTTTCCTATGGCTAAGTTCCACAGGGCAGGCCGGGTCCACCTGGACCCCATACTCCCAAGCGCCTACTGGGGGGCCTCTGGGAAACTCCGCAGTGCTTACAGAAAGTTCTGTTAAATCGTATGTGCTGCTGCGCACATAAAAGGGTAGGCAACCTCAAGGCCGATCACAGGCAAGAGAAAAGTGTAGAGCGTTCGGGTGAACTGGCGTGTCGCTGGCACTCCCTGCGGACAATTCTTGCCTTAAAATCACGTGGCCCGCTAGCTCTTCAGCGCCGGCATGGTGCTGAGTAGAAGGTCGTATCTTTCAAAGTAGCGAAACGCACAACGGATGTGATAGTACGGAATAGCGCACACAGGGAGAATCGTGGGGAAGTAGGCCACAGAGATGGGTGGCTGAGGACTACAGAGACTGACACAAAAAGTGGCAACAGCAGAGCTACAGCAGAGCTGGGATTCACACTACGGAGAAACGCATTAAGAATATTCCAAGCATCAAGGGAATGAAGCTGTTTTGGACCAAGCGGTTTTATGCTGCGGTTATTTGCATGTCGCTGGTGGTCCGGCTCGGTACCTGCTGGAGGAACCAGGAAAGACAGGCTCCAATTTTCTCGAGCACAGCCCCAATGCATATCCAATTCTCACGCTAGTACTTAATCTGGTGCTTTGAGTTGCTCTTGCCGACTCTAATGCTCCTGTTGTGAGCCACAAGTTGAACCCCACTTCTCCAGCTTGCTTAAAAGCGTATGTAAGCTTCGTTCGGGTGTTCTGCAAGCATGCGAAGGCAGGTGACAGAATAAGCCAGCTGTATAGCACAGAGTTTCATTTTAGCCTTCGCGCTGCAGGGTATCGATATTGCACAGTCAGCTAAAGGGCCCCCACTGCTTTTGCTCTCCGCTCTCTTTGGTTATGCTATGGCATCTTGAGATACTTGTGCTATCATCCAACATTTTGTATTGAGGGCGTTAAAGTACCCTTTAGAGCTAAGGATTTGGGATTGTGGGGCAATAAGTTCACTGCACTGCCACAGGGTCCGTAGCCCTAGTGGACAGGATTTCCTTCACACACGCTGGAGAGAGCCACAGCAGTACAAAAATCAAGGAATCAGGGCTGCATGCAGGAAACTCGATATTGCTAGGTTTTAGCAGCAGTGATTCTGGCGATACACCCGACCGCTCTGAAACGTTCTGGTGAGGCAACTGGGTAAACATTCATATTGTGTGTACAAGTGCATCCTTGCCTGCACTTTTTTTGTGTCTGAACATGTTCCTAGTGAAATTAGTTTAGGTTTCTATGAGTTACTCTGCACTTGAACACTCGATTAGCATTCATTTCAATGTCACGGACAGCTGCGCGCTTCGAGGGCCTACACTGGTTTTTGGACTGCAGAGCTCTATGGGTGCGCCGGACAGCTCCAGCCTTTAGATGACAGATCCCTGATACAAGGTAGATTCGATACTTTTGCTTGCGTTAAATCGAAAACCACTTCGCACCATACATGGGATCGCTAATTCAAATCTTTTGGTACTGGTTTCGGCCAAGCAACTGACGCGGCAGACATTTTCCACGCAGCATCTAGTCAATGCTAAGGCAGCAGCACCAGCAGCACCAGCGACACAGAGAAGCACTGACGCAACATGGATCCGCACAGCTACGAAGACTGGTGAGAGTTGCACGGCACTACAGTGCTTTCTCCACCTCACCCCTGGCGAGGCACCCTAGAGCAATACGCAGGGTTCGCCCAAGGGGGCACCATAAGGCACCATAGCTTGATCCTCAAAGAACGAAGCACACATCAAGGGAGGACCGTTGTAGGTTACCCTCACCTTCTGCTATTGCACCTTCGACGTCTTCTGACGAGGAGCTCGCCAGATCCCCGACAGATGCCTTATCGTTGGTATCCAGGAGGCTCCGCTCATCAGGGCCAGCTTCTGTCGAAACGCGAAATCTTGCACGATGCCAGCGGCGGTTCGAGGAGGTCGTCCAAAATTAGGGGTCTCCGACAGAGCATCTTGAGGCGCGGGAGACGGCGGGCTTTAGGGGTCCCAAGGATCTGACGGCCTGGCTGGAGGGATGGTAGAGGCGTCTAGAGCGACTAAAGTATATAAGAATATGCTTACGTAGCTCTGAACGTCAGCTTAATTATCTTCAGAGATGACGGCAGTCCATTAACAAAAACAGACTCCCATGCCAAGCGAAGCTGCAGCCACTCAGACACTTATGGCTGCCACTGCTGCCGAAGAAGCCGTAACTCCATTACCCAGCCCTGTGGCTGCTAACAAGGTGGATTTTTGCAGCTATAAATGCAGTAGAGGCAGTACCGCACACCACTGCCACCCAGGGAGGCCCCCTGGATCGCCGGCAGTGGCAATGGCTGCTGTTGCCCTTTCTAGAGCACACGCGCCGAGGCGCCTGGAGGAGTCAGCACAAATCCTTGTGAATAATCCCCCTCAACAATACGCTTGCGCTGGTGATTTCGATGTCCTACGCAAGATGTAGTGACAATGGGCCGCCTAAGTACTGGCATAACATCAGCCATGATTGCTGCCAAGCTATCAGCTAGCCCACCAGATGATCCATCAGCCAGTCCAGCAGCAGCAGGACCATAAACCAAACAAGAGGCGGTATTCTAGCAGCAGTGGCTGCATTTGGTCTTACTGCTCTGCACCAAATCCTTCTGAGCTGAAGATCCCAGCCAGCGACCGTTTTCTCGGCTGCTGTATGATTGTCTACAGATCACTTGCTTGCAGTACCAGCAGCAATATTCATGGCGAACTGAAGCGCACCACTGATAGCACCATTAGCGCCGGCGAGACAAAGAGCAGAGTTATCCTCTGTAGTAGCGCATGAGTCGCACATGGCTTAGTTTCGCATACTGACGCCCGTTACCCCGTTAAAAATATAATGAGCGTACCTACTCTTCTTTTTGAGGACTAAATTCATCGAAGCCATGAATTCTACTTTTAAGAAACAATCCACTGTTTAATAGGGATAAGAGTGCAAAACCAAGGCACTCCGAGTTAGGACTGAGGGTAGGCGCAAGAGCAGTAGACTTCGGAACTCGGCTTTGAGAGGTCGTACAATGGAGCTAAGAGCGTAAGCCTTAAGTTGCTCTGGGAGTGTGTCTATGTGGGAGCTGCCGGTTCGCTGTCGCACACAAAATATGCTTGCATATATCTCTCCAATGTGGACAAAAGTCCATCCATGGCTGCCGTTTAGCGCTGGAGAAGTTCAGCAAGCCCGCATAGACCTTTGCTTTGAGGCGGATGCCCGCCGCACACAGGGGTGTTCCAAACGACCATCTGCATCTCCGTTGTTGCCCGTGTAGCGGGCTGCAATTGCTGTTTCGCTGGCTACTTCCATCATGTGGAGCATCAAATGTTTTTCTACCCTACACTTTGCCGTCGGTCCTCGACTGAGAATTTACAATAGGGGCTGAAAAGGCGTCAACACGAACCCCGGAAAGGACACTTGAAGATTCGCAGTGCACTTCCCGTGAAGTCTGTTTAATCCGAACTATTCCTGCACTTCTGCAAACAGCAGCAGGCCCTCCTCCCTGCGTCACTCACCGCGGCTTCCACTCCTTCAGCGACGTCGGCATGCCTGCACTTGTTGCGCGCTCTGGGAATCTGAATCTCTCTAGAGTCGGAAAAACTGTTTTCGGCCTCACATGCTGCAGGTGAGGGGCCCTCACTTCTGCTCGCTTATCCGCAGAAGAGAAGGCAGCTGCTGCTACGCGTGGGCCGGATGTCAGCTCCGACGCGAATTTTTGCATGACGATTTGTCTGTTCTACAAGGATCGGTCTCCCGGATGCCTACTAGGGCCGCTAAGAAAATTAGTGGGGCACAAAGCTCTTTTTTCTAGGGTAAGAGGAGAGAAGCGGTAGCTTGTGATCGTTCTTGTGGGCGTCTGAAGAGGCGTGCAAAACAAAAATCGAGAAGAAGCAGGCCACGCAGCCCGAAGAAAATCGTTGGCTCACGCGTCAAGAGGCTTTCGATGCAGCAGGAGTGCCGCCGTCATCAACGAGGATCAAGAGCGAAGCTTCCGACTGTGCATTAAGGCGCATGCCGAAGGACATTCTCAGGGCCGTGGGAGGACAGGGGTCCCTTGAAGCGTCGCACAGGATATCGGCGCGGTAGAATTATTTTGCAAGAGTGGACAGCCAACAGCTATCCAACGTCAGCTATCGTTGACGCTGAAGGGTAAGCGCTCTCCCCGAAGCCGCTGGTTGAATGGTAACCCTTCGGCTTAGTGCTGAAACCCAGCATTTACTTACTAAAACTTTCTCGTCCTCCTCAGCCCTCAAAGCCATGAAGGGCCATCTTGACGCTACTGCTCGGGGGCTGCATTTTAGGGTAGACGCGTGCTAGAGCTAGCCGACTGGCACTAGGTACAACGGTGGCTAGCTACGGTGCGTCTGAGCGTGCCTATGTGCGTGTGTATGTATGTATGTATGCTGGTTTGTTAGTTTGTCTGCCGTCACCCATGATATTCAGCCGAAGTCTCTCTGGACCCGGCCCAGGATGCACAGTGCTGCGAGGTGCTCATGAAAAAAGCAAGCCCTAATGGATAATTCTGCCGTGATAAGCTCGTAACGTTGCAATGTGCGCATGCAAGTACAACTTTGGCTCTAGGATGTGTTGTCGGGCAAGCTCTTAAGCCCAGATACTTCAGTGGCATGCGTGCTCGTCGGGGGGGTTGCTGAGGGAAAGAAGCATTAAGCAAACACTTGCAAGACGCAAAGCCTTCTGTCCAAAGCCTTGTGCGTTGCTGCACATGGAAATTCGTTGAGTTGACACGAGTCCTGAGCTTTCCATCCTGTCTCTTGTGTCATACTAGAGCGCATCCGGGCTCGTGACTCGGAATCAAAGACATTTTAATGAAGTTTCTGTCAGAGTGAAGTGATTTGCCGCGTTTCGTAAGGGGGGCCCACGACGCCAACTGCAGGGAAACAACAAACCGAGCTTGCGCCAAAGCCTTTGCTTCAAGCACCGAGCACATTCGTTCACGAAATCATTTGTGGGAGCCGTATGAATTGTAGTGGTACAGGATTTTCTGCCAGTAACACAGTTGAAGAGAGAGAGCCAACTCCAAGCGGCATCCGTTGCCAGCCCTGACGCAACCAGTGCGGAAACGAGTCTACCAAAATTACTGCAGGGGATTCGACTCTGCAGCTTTTCTGGGAGACTTTAAAGTCTTGTTTTGTAAAAAAGTAATTTCTCCTGAATCCTGCCTACGTATGTTTACTGAATTGAACCACCCGTGCTGGATCGCACTGGTACCCCGGGAAGCGTGTATCTCGACCGCCGATTTTTCACGAGCTTTGTGGGCTTCTTCCTAATCCACTGCCCTCCAGGCGCACTCCCAGTGCTCTCGCCATTTGTGGGAGCTTTGACACCAGCAACCAGAGCTGGCGGTAGCACTTGGGGCATACAGCAGCGTTTGACAGCGCTTTTCCCCAACAACAATGTCTCGCTGGAAGAAGTTCAACGACGATGACGTTCCAGACGACTTCGTTCTTCCTCCCGGTGCGTTTCCGTGAAGGGGGGGAGAGGGGGGCGGGCGGTGAGTGGGTGTTCGTACACTTGGGATGAGAGGCTCCGGGATGAAGCGAAGTTTGATGGAAGATCTTCCGGCTACTCGCGTTGCTGCAAGAGCCGGCGGGGAACAGTTTGAATTGTGCGGTTTTTGCGGGGCAGGTGACGCGGTTCGTGGTCGCTTGTTATTCAAAAAGCATTGCGCACAGTGCCATGTCATTGAAAAAGATGAGCCCGTGAAAACCGGCTGTACTCTGGTAAGAAGATACTCACGCTTCCCTTCATATGAATGCATGTCTCTCTCTCTCTCTCTGTGTGTGTGTGTCTGCGTATGTGGCACTCTTGACTTGTTGCTGCTCCTGTTTGCACGACTTTCTTGCGTGGCTGTTTCCCCTTTAGGCGGCTTCCTTCTCCTTGGCGCCCCGCCCAGCACGTCGGAACTTTCTACCTACGGGGGCTTTCCAATTTCAGGAAAATATGTGTGTGCATCTGTGTGTCTGTACAGCTAGGGCCTACCCTCTATGGGGTGTATGGCCGTACAGCTGGATCTGGCCCGCGGACGTCCCTTATTGACTCTTCTCAGGCTATCAAAGACTCTGGAATTGTTTGGACAGGTGGGATTCGATGATGGCGGCATGAAGGAGGGAATCTGCACGGCTCATCGGTCTTTGGAGTGTGCTGCCTGGGTGTTGCTGTGGTTCCTTGGTGCAGAGGCGTTGCATAGCGGGGGGGGGGGTGGGGGGAATAGTGGGTTACGGGTTAGATGCCAAGTATTTCAAGGTGTATGGGATTTGTCTGGTTGCGTCTGCTGTAGATATCACGCTGATGCGCTACCTGAAGAACCCTCGGCAGTTCACGCAGCATCCCATGAGTATGAACTTTAGGGGCCTCGACAACTGGCAGGTAGGGCTTGGAGTATGTTGTATATATAGGACCGCCCTATGCAACATGATGCCATGAAAAGAAACAGGGAGGCGGCAGTTCGTGCAGGACGCTTGTGGTTGTAACTTTATGGGCGTAGGAATCGTCCTACCGCACAGCGCTGTCTTGCGTTGGCGGGCTTTTACCGAGAGAGTGTTTTCATGGATATTTCTCAGTTCCTCGCTCCGTCTTAGTATGGGTGTACTTGCCTTCTTCCCTCCTCCTTTTTCCTGACGTAGTGCGTGTATATACACCTTCTTTCGGTATGTCTTATTGAGGTTCGAGTTGGGTTCAAACCACGCATGAGGACTTGTGTGCGCTCGCTTGGTAGGACCGCGTTGACTTGATATGGTATATCAAGGCCGCATGCGATGACAACACTGAGTACATCAAAGACATCCTCTCGTCGCGCCCAAAATTGCGGCAGTCAGACTCGCAAAAATCGGCAATGGGAGCTGGTAGGGGCGATCAAGGGCCCCCTGGAGGTCGCACGAGCACCCCCAGTGGTAGTGGGAAATTATGACTCACTGGGGATGGGTGCAAGTGTGGAGTCACGAACTGTGGAGAAGCAAGACTTCGACCGCGCGGCAGGGGTTTCGCTGTTTTTCTGGCTGTGTCAATACACGACACCACCGGGAGCGGGCAGGTGTAATAACGGGCATGTGCGTGTTTAGTTTTATTTCCAAGAGAAGACCATCTAGGAGTAGATAGGCTCTCAGCGTAAAGGCGGCCCCCTTCCCCCCTCGCTGCCTATTTCCCTTAAACAAGCTCTCTCTGTATGCTGTGGAGACCACTAAATTGTCTTGTGGTGCCCAGCTTCAATGTACTATGAACGTACAAGTTTCTTAGAGCGTTGCAAAGGTGGTAGCGACAGCGAGAAAGCAGCAGCAACAGAGCAAGCTAAACCGAGCACCAGCAACATGAAGGGCCCCTGGAAGTAGCAAAGGCGAGAGAGCGGCGGCACTCGGGCTGACATTTGTGGCCGTATGGGCTGCACGTATGTGCTCATTTTGGCTCCAATTGTCATGTCGTTGCTCTCATACACACCCCTCGTCATACATTTTCTGCTGTGGCATTGTCGCACGTTATCCTGGTTCTTAACATCTCTGGTAGAGATCACTCAACAGCTTGGGAGTAATGGGGAAGGCACTGCAGCATACAGGCTGGAGCGCACATGGGGTCTGCCACCTCGACAATCTCCGGTTACTCGACGCGTTTGTTGCATGGTATAGGATTTACCCATTAGGATTCAATGCCCAGTTTTTACGGTTACGGCAGAGTTAGTTGTGGGAGCAGTTGCATCATGAAAAACAAACGGTCCATATCGTTTTTACTTTGAGCCGTTTCAAGACACCTGATGCGACGTAAATGGGTCAGGTAGCAGCAGGCGCTGTGAATTCTGTACAACTGGCCCGAGCGACGACTAAATAGAGTGGTGGTGCATGCTTCATTCTATCCTTGAAATGCGCTTGTGGCTTCCACGCCACTCCACAGCTACACCGGTACACCAGGTCTGTATGCATTAGCTAAAACTGCGGGCTTATTGGGTGTATGCACTCTACGTTTCTTTGCGAAACTGCAAGGCTCAGCCATACTCACGGGGTACGTCTGGAAGCCCTCAAGGCCTCCAAGTTCTTCGCTAGTCTGCACATATGTGTTGTGTTGGCAGATAGATGCATGCAGCTTCGACTGTGACAAAGTCGGGCTTGGCGGCGTCAGGAAGCGTCGGTTTCTTTGACGTGTTGGGGATTGTTGGCCAGAAGGGGCGGCTAGCCAGTGTACTGGAATCATATTCTAAAAGAAATGCAATACATACATGGTTTCAGTACAGGTGACAGTCACTGAGGCAGGCCCGCATGCATGCACAGGAGCAACTGTTGCAGCGCACCGGTTGCATGCAGCCGCAGCAAAGCAAGAACATTGCTTTGAGGGATTAATATCTGATTGACACGCTTTGCGCTATACAGACCCTACTTTTGCGGTGTTTCAGACAATCCGATGCTTCCTTGTTGCTGGCAGCAGCAGCAAGAGCGCCTAATGCGAAGTAATCGTTGTGTTCTGCCTTACGCCCGCAGCAACTGCGGCAAGTCTCTTCCATTTGCACAAAAATAGAGCTGTATGACTGCTGTAGTTTCAAGGGGTTCTTTGGAGCAGCAGCATCAGCAACAGAGAGGAAACAGCAACACCAATTGCGTGCAGCTATACTACCAGCAACGTGTGTGCTCGCTCTTACTTGCCGCTGCAGCAGCAACGGGAGCAGCAACAGCGCAGAAAGAAGGCACCAATAATAAGGCCTACGCCACAAGCTTAACACGTGTCTTGCGGTCCACGCGCCTCCATGTTCTCCTCGTGGTGTACGGACTGCAGTCAAGCACAAGAGCGAACTGCATTTTCGCCAGCAAAGGAAAGCAGAACGTGCAGCAGTAGCGCCTACAGAGGGATTCGAGTGGACCTGTGGGTGCCTCCGATTCTTTCGTAGCATCAGAACCGGTTCTTTGATCTGAACGGCGACGGAGCACAGTATCCCATATCATCATCAGAAGGGACGGGATATCTTGCAGGCCTTAAGCCTCGCCTTTCGACTAACACTCAGGAGCATCACTTGCTGCCGCAGCACCAGCAACGGCTGCAATAGCAGCTATAGCTGCTGCTACGCGCGCCGTCTTCAATGTGTGTCCAGGGTAACTCAGGAGTTGTTTTTCCTGTCGCCGACAATCCCGTCTTCACTATGCAGCAACAGCAGTTGCAGCAGCAACTTCAGCAGCAGCTGCAGCAGCACATGCAGCAGCAGCAGCTGCAACAGCACATGCAGCAGCAGCAGCACATGCAGCAGCAACAGTTGCAGCAGCAGCACATGCAGCAGCAGCCGCACATGCAGCAGCAGCCCCATATGCAGCAGCAGCACCAACATATGCAGCAAGACATGCAACAACAACAACAGCAGTTGCTTACCTCGGGAAACCAGGACCATGCTCCCCAGCGTTCTGGTAGGCACATGTGCACCCTTGTGGCTGGCTGCTAAAAGATGTTCTTGTGGTGCCTGATTTGTTCGAGAATTGGCAGTGTACACACACACATATATATGTATATATCTATGGACACACGTGTTGCTGTTTGAGCGTGCGTGTCGCTTGCTGTCTGTGTGGGGTACAGGGCCTGTTAGGGGTGAGCTTTCAGTTGAACAGCAGCAGCAGCAACAACAACAACAACAGCAGCAGGATCGCATCTGCCAGCTGGTGCTGGATTTGTCGGTGTCTTCAAAGAGGGAGTTTGCGCTCTTAGAGCTCTCGAAGCGCCGGGAGGCCTTTGCAGACTTGGCCCCTCTCCTGTGGCATTCCTTTGGCACGATGGCTGCGATCCTACAAGAAATCATATCGGCGTAGTAAGCGCAAGGCACAAAGTGCTTTCAAAGAACGGAGCAGCTGCTCGCCTCTCGGGTGCAAGTCGAGGCTTTCTTGGCCCTTGCCGCTTGGCGAGCTGGCTATTTTTCGCGTGGATGTTTCGCTTTCAGTCAGGGAACCTTTGGGTTTTGTAAGAGCCGAATAGTGAGCGCTAGCTCTTGTGTTTCCGTACGCTTGTGCGCGCATGTGTAAGGGGACTCGTGTCACGTGTGCAATCGAGAGACACTTATCTGTGTGTGCTGCACAGTCCGTTCCTCTCCCCTCCGTCATTGACCACCCAGGCATCCAACAGAGTATGCAATTCGCTGGCATTGCTGCAATGTGTAGCGTCGCATCCGGATACTCGACAGCTTCTTCTGAACGGTAATGCAAAGAGAGGGCTGCGGGCAGGAGGGTCGATGCCTTAGATGCGGGAGAGAACTTGTAAATATGTGATCGAATTTCGGTTCGTGTTTCTTTATCTGTCTCTCCTCTACCTGTCCGTCCGTCATAAGAAACAGCGGTATCTTTTACCCTCCCCGCTTGCATCCATGTATAGGCCTACCGCGGTGGAGTTGTGCTTTCGGGGGGGGAAGAGAAAGGGGGAGCACGCTGGGTGTCTGACCTGTTTTTACGCATGGCTCTTTGTATGCTTCTGTTATGATGTGTGTGTATGTATGTATGTATGTATGTGTTGTGTGTATCTCTTGTGTATATGCATGTGGTGTGTGTATCTCTTGTGTATATGCATGTGTTGTGTGTATCTTGTGTGTGTGTATGTGTTGTACATGTCTATTTTTGTGTGTATATATGTATGTGTGTGTGTTTGTGTAAACTGCAACAGCCCATATTCCCCTTTTCCTGTATCCGTTCCTGAATACGGTGTCGAAGACGCGGCCCTTTGAGTACCTGCGATTAACATCTTTGGGTGTCATCGGCGCAATCGTCAAGGCTGATGAACCTCCGGTGGTTTCCTTCCTTTTGCAAACGGAAATCATTCCGCTCTGTCTCAGAATCATGGAAACAGGCTCCGAGCTTTCCAAAACTGTAATTCAAAACAAAAAGAATCCTCCTTAGGCACCACCCTTCACATACCTCTGCATACAGAGGCGGCCCGTGCCGGGCCTAGCGCTGGGCAAGGCGGGGGATAGCGTGACTCTATATACATATATAATTGTGTTTCGCTTCTCTCTTTGTCTCGTTCTCATCAGTATTCGTTTCTTGTGTTGCTGCTTTGGGGAGAAGGAGACGGGGGCTGCTCTAGAGGGGCAGGTCCTGCGAATTGTTCAAGAAATCTGCTTGTGTGGAATACCCGATTTTGTGTGCGCAGGTAGCCACTTTCATCGTCCAAAAGGTGTTGCTTGACGATCTGGGCCTGTCTTACATTTGCGCGACGGCCGAACGGTTTTATGCTGTCTCTACAGTGTTGTGCAACATGGTCACAAGTGCTGTGGACGCTCCCTCCAGTCGGCTCCTCAAGCATGTCGTCAGGTGATCGACGCGCTGGGGTGTACGGGGAGCTGTCGAGGGCCCAAGGTCGAAGTCTCTGTGGGGATGGCGATCAGTGTGTGTATATATATGTATGCAAATATGTGTGTGTGTATATGTGTATGTGTGAGTGTGTGTATGTATGTGAATGCGTGTGTGTGTATATGTGATGTGAATGTGTGTATATATATGTGAATGTGCGTGTATATATGTGATGTGTGTGTATATATATGTGAATGTGCGTGTATATATGTGACGTGAATGTGTGTATATATGTGGATGTGTGTGTGTATATATGTGATGTGAGTGTGTGTATATATGTGAATGTGTGTGTTTATGTGGATATTAAATACATGTATACATATCATGCGTGTATGTGTGTTTTTGAGTTTGCATGTTTGTGTGTGTTGATGTGCATACACATGTGTGTATACGGATTTATGTGCGACCCCTCTTGCGCGTGGACAGGCGTGGCTGCGGGGCTCCGCAGTGTGTGTTGGTTAGAGCATTGGAGATGTTGGAATATGCCTCTTTGCCTCCTTCCATCAACGCCTCGAGTGTGGGAATGTCGGTTTTTGCTCAGGTGCTACTTGCGTCTTTCTGACAACTCCAGAGCTCGAGAGGCCCTCAGACAGTGCCTTCCGGAGGCCCTTAAGTGCGTCGACATTCGCTTTTATTTCACGATAGCCGCAACGACTGCGGCTGTCGATGCCAGTCTGCTGTTGTGCACAAGCTTTGTAGAAGGTCAGCAGCAGCAGAGTGGGGAAACAGATGGTTGGGCTGCACTGTCTGCGATGCGGGGGCGCAGGAAACCCGAGTTGCATGCAAATCTCAAGGATGATCCTGCAACCAAAAAGTGGCTGCTGCAGCTTTTGCATGCAGTATCTGACCAGCCGCTGCAGCAGCAAGCCTCGGCGTTACCCCAGTCCTGATATACAAAGTGCTCATACACCAAACAGCGGCGGTAGCCACTGCAGTCGCACGAGCTGCCGTTAGTCCCTCTGCAGGGGAGACCTTGCGCGTGTGCTGCTCTTTCACGCACTGAGCATTACGAGTGCTCTTACTACTGTTGCTGCGAAGGCTGGTGTCGCTGCTGCCTCGGCAGCCCTCGCAATGGAGTTTTTCAGCATCGAACGTCCAGGGAAAATCGAAAACACCCGTGTAGGAGACGCACAGGACTAGGGGTTTTCGAGTTGTTGCTAGCGAGGGAAGTGAGGTCTGCCGTTGCTTCTTTTTGCAGCCAGCAGCCGTGTGCATGCTTGCCTCTGGTGTAGTAAAATACTGCTGGCGCGCGCTACTATGCGCGGTAAGTAGTGTACAGCGCAAATTGTAAAAACAAACACCTGACACGGGAGGCAGTGCAGTGCAACTTATAATTAGTGGCCCAGGGCCTTTGAGAGACACTACTGCTAGGCAGCCAGTCGGCATCATTTTTTGAATAGTAGCTGCAACAGCTCATCCGAAGTAGCTGCAACAGTTCATCCGAAGAAGCTGCAACAGTTCATCCGAAGTAGCTGCAACAGTTCATCCGAAGTAGCTGCAACAGTTCATCCGAAGAAGCTGCAACAGTTCATCCGAGAAAGCTGCAACAGCTCATCCGAAGAAGCTGCAACAGTTCACCCAAAGTAGCTGCAACAGTTCATCCGAAGAAGCTGCAACAGTTCACCCGAAGTAGCTGCAACAGTTCATCCGAAGCGCTCAAGAGGAGGTTTGTGGGAAGAGGTGCCTCCTTCCTCGCCCTCCCTCACTGCTGCGGCACTGAGCGTCTGCCACTGACGACCTAGGAGAAATATGAAGCGTTTATCCTCCACGCCTGCGCGTGTTAAGGCCTGTAGCAGGAGCTCGCCGCAACAACAGCAGGTTCACTAGAAGCAGTGGAAGCGAAGGCGTAACTGCATGCACTCAGGAGCAGGCGGGCTGCAAGTGCAATGCGTTAATATGATGGAAGCGCAACTGGATTCGGCCATATATCTACATCCCTCTATGTTCACTCTACATGTGCCAGCAACACACCTGCGAAAGGTTCGCAATGTCTTGTTTCGTGAGCTCGGCGATCTTTTCCGTCAGATACGGCAAGAAGGCCTCAAAGAAGGCCGCTTCCTTTAACCCCATATACGCTAGAGAACGCATACAGCAGCACAAATCCCTCAAGCTGAACCTGCAACCAGCAGTTAGGCACACCGCAACACAAACAGGGGGATCATTTACTGCGGATTCGTGAACAACTGCAGTCTCCTGTTGGCTGTGTGTGGCCGGAGGCTGAATCCACTTGTTCACTTAAGTGGCGTCTTGCCGCTAGGTCTTGTGCTGTTGTTGCTGCTGTTGCTGCTGCTTTTTGACTTACTCATACACGTGAGCACAAATGTAGGAGGCAATCTGCAGCGCCAAGGACTGTTTGCCTGTTGTTGCTGCTGCTGCTGCAGTGCCTGACATGTCAGACGTGCTCGCTGGTGCTGCATGGAGCAACCAGGGAAGCGGCTGCTGCTCATTCCTCCGGATTTTGATGAAGGCTTTGTTGCCGCGCTCCGTCTTCTTGAACGTAACCGCATGCAGCAGGGACCTCAGGAAAAGAGACACCGAGGCGGAAGCCAGCAGAGAAGAGCACAAGTCTCCTACAAACCTGACACGGATAGCAGATGTGACCGGTGCAAACGCAGGAGGGTAGAAAAGCCACGGCATCGGAAAAAATTGCAGAAACGGAGAGAGAGAGAGAGATAGAGAGACAGAGAGAAAAAAAAGAGACAGAGAGACACACATACACACAGACACAGAGAGAGAGAGGGAGCCAGAGAGAGCAAGCGCGAACAGGAGAACAGGCTTGTGGAGCTGCAAGGGGAAAAAAGAGGCCTCTTGTTAGGAGGCATGCGCATCCGCAGTGAGAAGCAGCAGATTCTTTTCTGTATGCGACGTGGACGTAGCAAGGCTTCTACTACCCCCCTACCCTCTCACCTCTTGGTAAGGTGTTCGAGAAAGTCACTGGGGGCTTTAAAGTGTTTTCTCAGCTCCCCGCATAGCACGGAGAGAGCGATGATCTGCACAAATGCGCATGTGCATGTGCATGTGCATGTGCATGTGCATGTGCATGTGCTTGTGCATGCACATGCATGCTGCTGTATTGAGAGAACGGTTTTTTGGCAGCTTTGGCGGGAGGAACCCTTCTCCCCCCCCCCATTCCCGGCTGCCCCCTTCTATCGAAAAAAAAGCGACGCCAAGCATCTGCACACACACTGGGAAGGAGGGATTACACACACGAATAAAGTCTCCGTAGGCTGCTATGCCCCTTCACTGTGCAACCGACCCCCATTTGTAAACAGCTAGGCCTCTCCAAAGAGACAGTCGCGAATGCACAGTGTGGGGAATCTGGTTTGTGCCTCACAGTGAGCCTTTTATTCACCGCACCTGCAAAGGGTCAAAGAGGAGGAGAGTCTCCTTTTGAGTGCTGAGTTGCTGCAGCAATGCAGCAGCAGCCTCGGGAACATCCAACCAAGCGTGGTGTTGCTTCAACTGCATCACCAAGCACACACAGTCAAACAGTGCTCTACAGCACTCCTCACAAAGCGTGATTGTTAGAGGCCTGTGTGGAAAGGCAGAAATGTCAGCCCCGCAGCCGACGGTTGCACAACCCATGAAAACGGCGGAAATAGAATCGTAGCAGCTGCTGCAGCAACGGCAACGCACGCCAGCGGCAGCAGCAAATTCAAGCAGCAGAAAATATATACACATACATATACATATATACCTGCAGCAAAGCATCAATGAGCATCGCTGCTTGACCACTGGTGAGCTCTGCTGCCTCAGGGGGACCCTGCAGCTGCTGCTGCCGCTCGAAGACTTCGCCTGCTGCTTTTGCTGCTGCAACAGCAGCAGCTGCTGCTGCAGGTTCTTGAGCTGCAGGAGCTGCAGCCGCTGCCGCTGCAGCAGGCATTGCAGAACGTAAGGACTCATACGTGGAATAAGGCACCAAGGGCAGCACGGCGCTGCACCTGCCCGGAACGTCACTGTCGCAGTGAAACCCCACACCCGCACAGTGGCTGGGGTGTCTGTACACCTCGCGCTGCAGTCCACCACTGCTGCGGCTGCAAGAAGCGGCGTGGGAGGCTATGATGTGCTGCTTCTCTTCCGGAGTCACCAGTTCTGCTAACCGCTGCGCCTTTGCCACAAAGTCGCCTGCTGTGACAAGCTCGTGCTGCTGTTTCTGCTGCTCTTCCTCCTGTTGTTGTTGCTGCTGCTGGAATGAATCATGGTGAACCTGTAGCAGCAACGAACGCTGTGCGTGGAGCAGCTGCACTGCAATCTCGGGCTTAGCAGCTACGACATGGCTTTGCTGCTGAAGCACTTGCTGCAAAAAATGCAGCAGCAAGATTCTTTCCTGCATGCGCTGCTGGTGCAGCCTGTCTGCCCTTGACAACCCCGGCTGCTGTCGCTGCTGCTGCTGCTGCTGCTGCAGTCTGTGTAGCATGTGGCGGCAAAAGCTCGTATGACGCAGGCCAAGTTTAGCGTACAGCCGAAGAAGTGCCGTCTCCTCAGCAGGCGAGAGCAACCCCACTGCCGCAAAGCAGTGCAGCCTCCTGCAGTCAAGCAGCAGCAGCAGGCACATGCGCAAGCAGAACCACCGAACCCTCTTTACATACTCTCACACACACAAAAAAGGAAAACATACATACATCCATATATATATATACATACATACATCCATACATACATACATACATATATACATATACCCATACATCCATACATACATACATATATACATACATGCATACATACATACATATATACATATATCCATACATCCATACATACATACATATATACATACATACATACATACATATATACATATATACATCCATACATATATCCATACATACATACATACATATATACATATATACATACATACATACATATATACGTACATACATACATATATACGTACATTCATCCATCCATACATACATGCATACATACATACATACAACGACAGAGAAGGGAAGACGCAAACACTTGGAGAAAGAGCGGCAAGGCCCTTCTCCTGCGTAGCCGATGGAGGTGCTGCAGCCAAGCAAGTACAAGCAGAGCAGGATCTACACTGCTTCGAAAGACACCGCAGATACTATACTACGTCACAAGGCGTCATCAGGAGCAGAAGCTTGCTTGCAACGTGCCGTGTGATGTGACGCAGCAGTTCTTCTTCAAGCTGCTCTGTCCCGTCCATACACTCCAGCAAATGCAGCAGCTCCTGCGGATCTGCTCGCAGCAGCAAATAGCTGTCGAAGGAGATGCAAAAGCGTCCCACTTCCCTTCTAGCAGAAGGAACCTGTGCTGCCACAGAGAGGCGGAGCAACCTGCATGAGCATCAGCGCATGCGCAATGCGCGAGAAAGGCTAAGCCATACAAAAGGAAGAGAAGTAGGTGCTGCCGTCAAAGCAGCCTTCTTTCTGCTGGCGTAACAGCAGCAGCGGGTATGGGGTGTACTTTTATCCCATTCTTTGGAGAGTAGCCAAGGTTGCGAATCTGAACGAGGCAGATATTGCCGCTACCCGCTGTCTGTCCCTTACTGCAGGCCTGACGAGAAGTCAACAAAATGAGCAGTTGAGTGCAGCAGCTCTTGCAGCAGCTGCATTCCCCACTGCCACTCCGCACGGGCGCTGGCTGCTGCTCTCAACAGCTGCATAACATGAAGACCTCTAACGACTATCTGCTGCAGTGCATCCTCCTCGTTTCTCCGGCTGCTGCTGCTGTTTCCGCCTTTCGCGCTGTCAGCAGCGACTGCAGGGATGGCCTCTCCTGCTTCTCCTCCTGCCCTCGCACCGGCAATCGCTTCAAGTTGCTGCTTGCAGGAAGACGCTGCAGCTTTGACGCTCTCCTTGCCCCACAGCTGCTGCAGCTGCTGCTGCTGCTGCTGCTGCTGCTGCTGTCTCATGTAGGCCTCAGCAGCGGCAAAGAGAGATCGCCATGAACGAATATCGTTGTAACCTTTCGCTGCAAAACATTCAGCGCATGCCACCAGCGCTGCTCCCGTCGCTCCCGCAAGAAATCCCTTGCTGCTGCTGTCGCTGCTGCTGTCGCTGCTGTTTTTGCTGCTGCCAGTGCTGCTGCTGCCTGCGTTGCACCCCAGCAACAGGCCGGCATACCACTGCCACAACCGCTCAGATCCGGCACTGCTGCTGCTGCTGCTGCATGAGGGCAGCAGGAGCTCGGCAAGCGCAACAGAAGAACGGATAAGGAGGTCAGCCCTAGTAGGATCCATAGAGACAATCCCTCTGCTGCTGTCCGCTGCAATCACCTGGAGCGGCTGCAGTACAACAGCAGCTGCCGCTAAAACGGCGTCTTCTGTGCCGCTTGCCACGTGCGAAGGGACGCGCAGGGATGCAGCAGCAGCAGCAGAAGCTGCTGCAGAGAAGCGGCGAGCATGCGACGAGGGCGGCACGGCATGCCGCTGCTGCCTCAGCAGCAGCAGCAGCTGCTGCTGCTGCAGTTGTTGGTAATGCTGCTGCACTTGCTGGCAATGCTCATTGTGTCGCGATTGTTGGGGTTGCTGCTGCAAGCGCGCGCGTGCCCGCACAAGAAGAGGCCTCTGAAGCTGCTGCTTTCGGCGGCTTGAAGCCGCACGCAAGCAATTCATCCCTACCTACGACACCACGTGGAGGGGCAGCTGACTAGAGGCCCTTAAAGGATATCTGAAGCTCGAGCGATTCGTTTGCAGTCGCTGCTAGCGTTGGTGCGGAAGCTATTGGTGCTGATGCTGCAGACGCAACTGCATATACAAGCACATCCCGAGGCTCGATTCTCCTTGCGGGAGCCTTACATACATACAGCCCGCAGCAGCATCTACGCGCCATGAGCAGAAGCGGCTCCAGCAAAAGAAGGACATGTAGAATTGCTTGCAGCGGAGGCGGAAAGACGATTTATATATATTTTACATGGCCAACTTGAGCAACAGCGGCAGCAGGAGCTCGCGCTGTACTACGGGGTTCTATGGTGTACATGCAGGTCCACACTGCCGACTGTCGGCTGCAGTGCCATGGAAGCCGCTTGAGGAGCGCGTTTTGCCGGATAAAATTCAGCGCAGCAGCTATTTATGTTATTAAGTTCTTCTCCCAGTAGCCTGGAGCAGGTCTAAGAGAGGTTCCTCGATATACGCCCTCGACAGGGGGGCCTCATCACTGTGCGGGGGGGCCCCCTTCAGGGGTCACGCCTTCCAGCAGTGCAGCAGGATTGGCGCAAAGACGCTCGGTAGCAAGCTCAGAAAACCGATACAGCAAAGAAGTTTTGATGCGCATGGCTTCCTGCTACCGCAGACAGCGCGAGAGGGCCCCACGGCTGCAGCAGCAGCTGGTGTTGCTGTTGCTGCTCACTGTGCCGTTCCAGATATCTCCCTCTGCCTGCTGGGTGTCTTCTGTTCTACGCCCTAGAAAAGGCGCTGCTGCAGTTGCGGCACCCTCTCTCGCTGCCCCTTATGGCGTGTCGGCTCTTGGTGTAGCAGCAACAGCCGCAGCAGCAGCAGGAGCGAAGAGCAACAGAAGTGCTCCGCAGCAGCAGCAGGAGCAGCGCGGAGCACCTCATCTCTGCATGCGCTTTTACAAGGCCCAGGCCATTCGTGCGTTGTCAATCCCGGAAATTGAAAGGGTGAGGAAGCGACGGAAGACTGCATTTTGTTGGTGCTGTGTTGGTGCTGTGCTGTGACACGAGGGGTAGCCAACGCATACACACACCGCTGCTTAGCCAGTGCCTTAGGCAGAGCCCTCTCTCCCCGATCTGAGGGGGGCCTCGTTTTGCTTGTAATTACAGGCACTGCTAGAGCGATATCTGCTCTTCTAGCGCGCACTGTCTTCGCCTCCCTCCCCCCCTCTGCTGCAGTGGAGGCCCCTCTTCTTGCCATGGCGATTGCGGCTGTCTGCAGGAGGTGCTACTGACGCGACAGACGCTCACGCACCTGCGGCTGCTTCAGCATGCGGGCATTACAAGGCGGCACAAGTTGGTGCATGCGCGCAGGTTGCTGCGGCAACTGCTAACGATCAGAACCGAAAGAGAAGCCAACACAGGGGCCTGCGAGCGGCGGCAGCAGCAGCAAGACTTGCTGCATGCGCAGCAGCAGCTGCACCTCCAACAAGCCCAGGCGCTGCAACAGCTGCTACGCCAAAACATGACACCAGAGATGCAGGAAGGGCTGCGCCAGGTTGAAATGCAGCTGCAGCAGCAGCACGACGAACAAAGGCAGTGGCAAGAGCGGCAGAGAGAGCAGCGGGGAAAGGGGCATGCTGCGCTGTCGGCTGCTGACTTACCGGCAGAGCCTAGGATGTCGCCTCCATGATGCGGAGACAGCACTTTCCGAATAAAAGAGGGTGGAACGGCTGCGTAGACACCCTAAGGGGCCTTAGGAGCAACCCTTCTTTCTTAGGACGCTTCCCGTTCTGCAGGCAGTATGCAATGAAGCCTCAGAGAGAGGCACTTCTCCCGATTAAACGAAGGCCCTTGCAGCGAGAAACTGTCTCTAGAACGTACTATCAGCAGGGGCAGCACTACGCCAGGGCACTACAACACCATAGCAGCACCCCTCTCTGGCCTTCTGCCGTAGCTACTCCCGAGATGAATAGCAACATGTTAGAAAACTAAAGCACTTGAATAAACATTCGTCCGCTCCGCAGCTTGCTGCAGTGTTTCTGCAGCCGTCCGTGCAGCCTTAGCACCTCTGGTTAGGGCAGAGGTTGCTGCTCCTGCAGCAGCTGCAGCACAAACTGTTGCTTCTCCCTGCTATCGCGCAGGACTGCCCAGCGCCAGGTGTCTACTGCAATAAAAGGCACTCCTGTGTGCTGCAGCAGGTCCCTCTTGAGGGCTGTTAGAGCTGTGAGGCCGTATTGTTGTGTCGGCTCTGTCGGCTGCTGCCGCTTCTGCTGCCTCGAGGGAGGCCTTAGAGACTGCGCAGCTGCATGGCAACGCCACACGAAGTGCAGAGGACCATCAGCCTCAACCGCTAGCTGAGAACCTTCTTGCTGGCCCTGTCCTTGCTGCTGCTGCTGCTGCATGCGCTGCTGCAGCAGCAAATCCACCAGCAGGCCCTCGTTTGTCCACACTTCGTTGCGATGTGCGAAGCCCGATGCATTCAGAGCACGGCTAACTTCCTGCAGTGGCACGTGTAGCAGCAGCACATTGCTACAGGCTTGTTCGTCGACACAGTAGCACATTGCTATAGGCTTGTTCATTGAAACAGTAGCTCATTGCAGTAAGCTTGTCCAAGCTGCTTACCTTGTGCAAAGCAGACAGTTGGTGGCTCGCGTTCCCCTCCAGCGCTGAGGCGCGCTTAAGAAGCAAACGCCAGTCTGCTTGAGCGCATTCCTTTCTACAGCAAGAAGTGAGGGTAGCATCAGGAAACAGCGCTTCCTGATGCTGCTGCTGCTGAAGAGAGGACTGGGAGTTGCCCTGCCGCGTTGCTGCAGCGGTGCAGTGGACCAGCCGGAGCTGCGGATATCGAGACGCACACACCTCATTGCACAAGCACAGAGGTTTGAAGGCATTCATCAAGATGTGCGCGTGGATGCACAGCGACAACAACCGGAACAAAAGTATTTACCTTGTTGAGGCAGTCCAGCATGCCCAACACGGACACACCCCGTCCTTGGAGGCGCCGAAGCGCGCTATCCAGGGAATAGCTCGCACTTTTTTCCTTCGCTGCAGTGGCTGCCATATTCAGCTGCTGCAGCACGGCTCCGGCTTGATCGGATGCCTGACGCACCAGCGCCCTATAAGCAGAGGAAGCCTCTGAATTCCAGCCTGGGTGCTTTCCTGGGACCGTTTGTGGCAAGGCTTGCTGAGACTCCCGCCGTTCTTGCTGCAGAGCTACCGTCGGAGGAAAGGCTGCTGCAGCCATTGCGAGACGGAGCACGCGGAGAAGCTGAGGCAGCGGCTGCTGCCGCTGCTGTAGACCCTCCGCTGCGAGACGCAGAGCTGCACTGGCTATGGCGGTAAGGCCTGGACCTCTCACTTGATTACAAGCTGCATCCGAAAGAAGCTGGAGAGCTCTTTCGAGGGCACGAGCTGCGTCTGCTGGCAGCGTTTCTGCTGCAGCCGCTGCTGCACGATCAATGATCGCTGCGAGCTGCAGCAGCAGGGGTTCATGCGTCGCGCGGGCCTGGCGCAGCCACTGCAGCGTCCATGCAGCTGCAGAAGCAGCAGCAGCAGCGTCTTGTGCTTCCGCTGCTGTTGATGGAACGTTCCGTGGCTGCTCGCCAGGCAGCAGTTCGGCAAAGGCATCCGAGATCGAAGGGAGCAGCATCTGTAGAGACACGCTCGGAGCAGCAGAACACACGAGCCATCCGCGGCACAAAACTTTGACACACTTATGCAGGCGGCCGCAACAGTACACATACACCGTAACCGAACCTGAAAGATGCCCTGCTGCAATTGCGCCTCTTTATCCATCGGATCCTCCGTCGGTTGCAGGGACTGCCAGTGCAAAGCCTCGAAAGCACCCAGCCGAGTTGCTGCCGTCAGGAGAAGCAGGAGCAGTGTCAGACGGCGGCTACTGCTTCCAGCCCCTCTGCGCCTGCAGCACCAAACAAGCCACAACCAACTTGAGGAGAAGGCTGCAAAGAACTCCGCCTTCCTTGTGCAGCGAGCGCAATCCAGGATGGCTTCGGCAAAGCTAGTAATGCAGAAAGCGAGAAAGCAGGCTGGGCACAACACCCCATCCAACACACTGCTGTTGATGCTGCTGCCTCTCACCTTGGTGCTGCTGCACGCGTTGCAGACAGTAAAGCTTCCAGCAAGGTTGCACGCGTAGCAGTTACTGCATGAGCAGGTCGCCCGCATTCTTGTTGTTGGGGATGCTCAGGCTGCTCACATTCTGCTGCCAGAAGCTCCGCTGCGAGCCATAACCGTACAACATCATCTCCAAGTGTTTGCCTCTTGCGTCCTGTGGCCACCCTTGTTGGTGCTGCTGCTGCTTTCGCTGTTGTTTTTGCTACTGGTTGAGGCTGCTCGTCTGCAGCCCCTTTGGGTGGTTCGTCAGTCGGCAGTTCTGTTCGAATAGCGGTAGCAGCAGCATCGCCAAGAGCAGCGAAACGAGTGCTGCCGATTAAGCGGGAGGCAGCAGCGAGCCGGGGAGCTTGTGGAGAGGTCCAGAGCCTGAGCGCCCGCTGCAGCCGCATCCACGTCGCTCCTGCAACAGTTTGCTCTGCACACGGTGCTGCTGCTGCTCCTCCCGGTAATATTTCCTCTGAAGCGCTGCGGTGCTGGAGCAAGCCAGTGCTACTGAGGGTGACGGCGGAATCTGCCCACTCCAAGACATTCGAGGCTCCCAAGGGAGCCGCCTGCTGCAGCAGTGCATCCACTGCTGCTCCCCACAGTGCGTCGTTGCTCTTTTCGATTTCGGGAGGAACCTGTGCGTGCTCAACAGTAGCATGAACAGCCGAAGAGTCTGCCAAAAGACCAACCCCCTCGTCCGCAACAGCAGCAGCTGCCGCAACTGAAGCACCAGAAGCAGCTGCGGCTGCGGCTTCTGCTCCTGCCATGCTGTGCGCCAACTGTAGAGTAGCAGCCGTTAGACCTTGCTGTGCAGCATCCACGTCGTCTGCGGCTTGTCGCAGAGCTGCTGGCACTCCCGATCCGCTGTCGTGAGCTGCCAGATCGGACGCAGCCTGTGCTACTGCAGGGTGGAGTCGCTTAAGGGCAGCGATCAGCTTCCCCATGGACGCCGCAGCAGCAACAACCGCAACACTAGCAGCAGCGTCCATGGGTAACTGGAACGAGCTACACGACAAGCGCAGCAGCGAAGCAGCCGCGGATAGCGCGTCGCAGGCGTCCTTGGCGGCTGTTGTTGTTGCTTTTCCTGTCGCATGCAGCGCTATCTCAGCTGCCTCCTGCACGAGCGATAAAGCGGAAGTTCGGGGCAGTGAGGAAACCGTTTGCTTTGCGGATCGCAATAGCTTTGCTGCTGCAGCGAAAATTTCGCTTGTTTCTCGAGGCGAAAGCAGCGTTACCTCCCGTGATGCCGCCGTACGCGTCGGCTGCAGCAGTTGTGTCAATTCACGCAGCAGCAGTGTCGCCGCTGCAGCTTGAGATACTGCTGAATGGCGGTCCAAATGCAGCAGCTGCTTGGGCTGTGCATGGCGCGTGGCAGCAGCAGAGCAGAGCTGCAAAAGCACCTGTCGCGACGCCGCAGTGCTTGCTGCTGCTTGCATGTCAGACATGAACGGCCTTAGGCGGAGCAACGCTGCAGCCACCGCTGTGAGCGTCGCAGGCGACGCCTCATGGGAAGTCTTGCTCGCCTGTGTGTCGGGGAAGGCTGCACTTGACGCAGAAGAGTCCTCCGCCAACGCAAAGCTGCACTGGTCTTCTGGCTGGTCAGCCTCTGAAAGGTAAATGAACGCGCCATCGCTAGGCGTCGCGGATGCAGCCTTTGTCATGTGTTGCAGCAACGCATACACTGCAGGCTGCAGGAGCTGGGCAGCCTCGCTGTTCGGCTCTTCCTGCCATTCCCTCAGCAAGTCGCTTGCAGCCACTGCAGCACGGGCAGCAACTCGCAGCTCGATCTCTCCCCACATCGTGCCTCTGTGCTCAAGCTGCTGCAGTTGGCGATGCGTTGGGGGTGCGTCGACCGCTGAAGCGATTTGCGAGGGAGGCCTCCCGAGAAACTGCAGAAGCCGCTGCAGCAGCTTCGCCGATGCCTCCCGCTTCTCCTTGCCCTTGCCACGGTGACAGCTGCTACTGCTGCTGCTGCTGCTGCTGCTGCTGCTGCTGCTGCTGCTGCTGCTGGAGTCCCACACGGGCAGCGCAGCCGCAGCAGCAGCTTCCCGTTCGTCTGGCTTGAGGCGTTGCAGTGCAAGCAGCATATCGGCAGCCGTAGATGCTGCCTCCCCTGTCGGCAAGTGCTGCAGCTCCGAGGCAACAGTGACGAACAGTGCAGCAGCGCATGCAGCCCCCAGACGCCGTTTCCACCGCAGCAGCTGCATCAGCTGCTGCCGTGCAGCAGGCGTCTTCTGTCTTGCGGCAGCCGCTGCCGGCCGGTGCTGCTGTACGGCGTGCTCCTGCAGCGGGTCGAATTGACAGTCGAGAACTTGCAGTAGGGCCTGTTGAATTCCCAGAAATTCAATAAGGGGCACAAGCAACCGCTGCAGTGCGGGGTTCATGTCATACCAGTGGCTGCTAATCCACTTGCTCAACACTGCAGCAAATACGCGCATCTCCTGAACTTCTGCATCGTTGGCTCCTGCAGCTGCAGCTGCTGCAGGAGCCCGACCTCGGCGCGGCGTTCGAGAGGTCTGTGCCGCCGAAACAGTCTGCTGCTGCTGCTGAAACTTGTTTTCCTCGGATTGATGGATGGGCTGAAGCAGACGGTTTGCTTCACTGAGCACTTGCGACAGCTGCGGGGTGGCGTTGGGAGGCAGCATTTGCAGCAGCCGCGCAATGAGCCGCAGGGAAGTCGCACGGTGCTCAGCTCGAGCTGGAACCTTAGCGCCTACGACCGTGGGAAGCTGTTCGGAGGCACCTCCTGCGAGTGCTCCTGCTCCTCCCCCAGCAGCAGCAGACGCAGCATGCACTTGCTGCAGCAGCAGCCCGTCAAGCCGCCGTGCCGCTCCGACAGCCAGGAGAGCGGCCTTCAGCAGCTGCTGGTTGTGGGGAGTCAGCGTCTTGATAGGAGCATCTGTCTCCTCTGAGGCTGTCCTTCGAGAAATGCCAGCAAGGCGCCGTTCCGCTGCAGCAGCAACGCCCTGCCTGTCACGTGAGGTAGCAGAAGCAGCAGCGGCGGCTGCTGCAGTTGCTTCGTCAAGAAGAGTGAGCGCGCGGCTCCTAAGACCTCTCGCCACCTGCAGCAGTAAGCGCTGCGTGGCTGCTGCTTGAAAGGCTTCCGCATTCTGAGCTGCATGGTGCCCTGCTGCTTGCTGCAATGCGACGGCTGCGCGTATCACAGAGTGCAGCACTCTAGCTGCCATGTGAGGTGTAAATCCACTGGGCGGCTCCGCCTGCTCTTTTGCGAGAAAGCTCGTCAGCTCTGCTCCTGCCGATTCAAGAGATCCACAAAGCCCCTCAATCCAAGCCGTGTCAGCTGCGGCAGCAAGCGCGGCGTCGGCAGCAGGAAATGATGGCTGCGCCTCCGCAGCTGCAGGCTTTTGACCATCACCAGCAGTACCAGCCGAAGGGAGCACGGATAGCTCCGTTAGCCGCGCAAGCATCTGCCACACCAGGTGCAACATGTCAGCAGCATCGTGGCGGTGCTGCTCGTGGCGAGACACTTGCTGAGGCTGCTGCTGCTGCTGCTGCATCTGCTGCTGCTGCACCTGCTGCTGCTGCATTAGGTGATCGCCTCGATCGGCTACGCAATTTCGCACGCGTTGAAGGGCCACACGAACGAGCTCCAGGAGCAGCAGCCTCAGGTGCTGCTGGCGAAGCTGCTGTTGGGAACGCACAAGCAGATGCCCTAGCTGCGTAAAGGAAACTAGCAGCAGACAGAGACACCTCGTTCCCTCTCGATAGATCACCCCCTGCTGCTGCAACCGTTGCGCTGCGTCGGCAACAAAGTCTTCTGCCGCACGTTCCCCTACTGCAGTCTCTTCCGCCGCGATTTGCTGTTGCGGTTGCTGCAGCAAGTGCTGCTGCTGCCGCTGCTGCTGTAACAACTCTTGCTGCTGCTGCAGCACAGCAAGGCCCCAAAGAGCTGAAGCGATGCTCTGCGCGTTGGAGAACCGCAAGAGCTCCTGCATCCGGCGAAGAAGGGCAGGCAAAAGCTGCACGTGAATAAGCCGCTGCACTAATAGCGCTCCCTGCTGTTGCTCGGTTTGCGCTTGCTTCTCCTGCCTGGAGAGGTCCTTCTTCTGCATCGTCTGATCGAGTTGCTGCAGCGGCAGTGCCTGCTGCTTCTGCTGCCCCTGTTGTCTCTTTGCATCGGGAAACTCCTCGCCAGGAGTGCCAGCTGTTACTACGGGGAGCAGCAACCAGCGCAGCTTCGCCAAAGCCAGCAGCACAGCAGACGCCTCTGCTGACTGCAGCTGATCCAGCCCCCTTAGCACTGCGTTGCACAGAGAGGCAGCGAATTTCGGATTTTTAATTAGGGATAGGCTGTCGCTGTCATCCCCAGCAGCGGTCTCAGTAGGCTGCTGCTTGTGCTCCTCCTCTTCCTCAGACACTGCATCTGTTGCGCGTGTTCGTACAGCTGCGCCTGCCTCCGCCTCTTCGACCATGGCAGCCAGCACACGCAGGGAGGCAGCAGCTTGCTGCGGCAAGAGCTGCTGAGCCTCACAAAGTGTGGCGAGCCGGAGCAGCAAGGCCGTTCGAAGGCGCTGCCTCACGGCAAGAAGTCGTGGTAGTAGTACCTGCTTCTGCTCCTCTTGCTGCTGCAGACTGAGCTGCTCCAGCAAAAGGCGCAGCGGCTGCAGCAAACCGATTCGATGCACTGCCCATAGAATGCGAGTTACACTGCCGTCCGCTACGGGGGCATAATCAGCAGCTGCGCTCAGCAGCCTCATCATCCGTGCATCAAGCAAAAGCTCCACCTGCTGCCGTCTCGTCTGCTTGTCTTGTCGCGGATGCTGCTTCGATAGGATGGCAAGATGATGCAAAGCAGTTGTCACATCCGCCAAATCTATACCATACCTTTCAACTATTGCATTGACGCCTAAAGGACCTGCAGCGCCCTTCTGTAGGGATGAACCGCTCTGTGCTACGCGCAAAGTACAGACACCTTCTTCTCCCTGCTTCTGCTTCTGCTCCTGCTGCTGCTTCCACTCCTGCTCCTGCTCCTGCTCCTGCTCCTGCTTCCACTCCTGCTCCTGCTCCTGCTGCTTCCATTCCTGCCCCTGCTTCTGCTTCTGCTCCTGCTTGCCCCTTCGGCTAGCCATATCTACGGCGTCCAGCACTCCCTCTGCAGACGCAGCAGCAATAATTGTTCTATGGAGAGCCTTATTGCGCTGATTGGCAGCACTTGCAGCCGCTTCCATGGCTGCTGCCCGTCCTGCTCTCAGCTGTGCAGCAGCAGCAGCACTTCCGCAGTGGTCGCTGCTGTACCGCAACAGCAGCAGAGGAGCAGATGCAGCAATGTCTTGTGGATCTGCTACGCCTCCCCCCTGCATTAGGCGGTGGAGGGCTGCAGTCTCTTCCCCAAGTTTTGCTTCTCCGTACGCTGCTGGCATTTCTGCAGCGGCAACAGTGCTCGTTGCAGGTCTCTCTTGGATCAAAGTGACGGCTCTGCCAGCGAGTTCTCGAGCAGTGCGTGCCCACTCCGCTGCAGCAGCTGTATCTGCAAGGGCGGGAGCACTCAGCGAGGGGAGCAGCAAGCCGCAACGCGCATGCAGCACGTGAAGATGCAGCAGCAGTTGCAACGCGGTGTCGGATCTGCGTATGTGCTGCCGCTGCAGCTGTTGCACTACGACACCCCGACAACTGGCAGCAAAGACTTGAGCAGCAGCTCGCACGGCAGACGACGTCTCAGCAGCCGACGACGTTGCTGCTCTGGCTTCCACCACGGCCGTGTTGGAGAAAGGCTGCTGCACATCTTCCTGCTGCTGCCGTCCTAGCAGGAGGGCGTTTACAGCTGCCAGCAGCAGCGGCATCTCTTGAGGCTGCAGCAAATGAAGATCTGCTGCAAGGCGCACCAGTATCTTCTGCAGTTCTGCAGGCTGGAAGGTGGCTCGCTGTTGCTGCTTTCGCGTTTTCGCTCGCTGCTGCTGATCCTCGAGGCGGGCTAGTGCAAACAAGCACTTAGATGTAGCCAGCAGTCTATCCTTGGCGCTGCCTCTCTGCCGCCAGTGCTGATGCACGAGCTGCAGTCCTTGCTGCGGGTGGAACGGAGGGTCCACAGCTAGCCAATCACGAATGTATCTTCCAAAAGACTGCGTCAGAAACAGCATAGCGAAAAACCAACAGTCTCAACAGTAGCAGCAGCAGTAGAAGAGGCGCCTTATACACAGCAGGCCGAAGCCTCTGCTGCCCTAAGCATCGCCCACCTATCTGCAACGCACCTCTGTGAGGGAGGTGTATTTACACCCCAGCCGCATCCGTGCAGCGCAGCGACCAATACACACAGCATGCTGCGGCTCCAGTCTCATGGGATCTCTGGACGCAGCTTCAGCAGCCCTCCCCGCTGCCTCTGCCGCGGCTTTGTTGAGACGCTGAGTTGTAATCGCGACGAGGGGATGGAGCAAGCCTTGCTGCTGCTGCAGCAGGGGCATGTCGTCCGCCGCTTGCCAAAGCGCCACTACACAGCGCACGCATGTGGGAAACAGTGAAAGCAGCCAACAGCGTAAACAGCGTGCATTCTAGCGACGCGCCGGCACCTCGAAGGGAGGCAGCAGGCTGCAAAAAACGGTAAATTTAGGCTTTGAAAAAGCGCCATCGCAATCGGCGAGGAACATCAGGCTCTCAGACACGTCTCGCTTTCATTTCAGAGAGAGGTTAAAGGCATCGTGCCTGTTCTCCGTAGGCTAGAAACCATGCAGAGAAGAGGCATCAAACAGCGAACATACCCAGGCTGTTGGACGAGAGGCGCCACGGGTCGCCCTTTTCGCTGTTGCTGCTGCTGCTGCTGTTGCTGTTGCTGCTGCTACTGCTCCTTGAAGTGCTGCTTCGCAGGGAGGACAGCACCGACTGCAGCAGCGGCTGCTGCGGCAGGAGATTAAGACGGCTGAGGTTTCTGAGAACCTCGACTGCTCCTGGTGGGCTGAGAGACGTTCCGCAGAGCTGCAGTGCAGCCAGTAGGTCCTGCAAGCAACAGCCAGGTTGGTTGGCGGCAGCAGAGCAAGAGACTTTGATGGAGGAATGCTATTCGGAAGAAACCGATCGAGAAACTTTTCAGACGGCCTTACCTGGTGCGCCGAGGCTGCGTCTACTGCTGGGGAGACAGGGAAAAAGCCTACCTTGACAATGGGGAATCTCGATACGTGATGGGGACGTTGCTGCTTGCTTGACGGGTGTCTCGTCGTGTTTCCAGCAAGCACAGCTAGCTGGTGGAGGGCTCTCAGCAGCACGCTTGATGGTTGCTGCCGCAGCGGCGTGCTTGCGGCCACATTATGCAGCAACTGGAGCAACTCATCTACAGTTTCGCAGCGACACACTGCTGCACTCACAGCCGTGTCGCCTTCCTCTTCGTCTTGCTCCCAGGCAATACTACAGGATCTGCGTCTTTGCTGCCGCTGCTGATGAGCATAAGCAGCGTGCTGCTGGGGATGGTGCTGCTGAAGCCTACCGTCTCCTCTCGGTGCTTCCTGCTGCTGCTGTTGCCGCAGCAACTCTGCTTCACACGACACCCACATGCGTGTGGGTGCGTCTTCCGACTTAGCAGACACGAAGCCATCCTCGTCATCCCCGAAATCCTCTTGCTCCTCTTGCGTGGGCAGTCCATCGTGTTTTCTCACGGCGCGTAGACTGGAGGAAGACGGAAAGCTACACCATAGGCTGCCTCCACCACCGCTTGCTTGCGACGTCGGGGAAGAAGGCTTAGCGTGTGTGAGACGTCTAGAGGCCAGCAAGAGCATCCAGGGAGGAGCTTGCAGCTGCAGCGCTTCTGTCTTGCAGGCTGCAGTAAGAGGAGGAGCCCTCCTCGAGGACCGTGGATACGGGGGAAGCTGTACGTACAGTCGGAAGGCCTGCACTACGGCGGCACTGGGAATCTGCAGCAGCACGAGTAGGAGGAGGAGCAGCAGCGCGAGCAGAAAATTTTGCTGAGTAATACAGAGGGGGCGGCATGGTGAATTGCCGGGGGGAAGGCAGCGGCTGCTCCTGCTGCTGTTTTGAGGGCACTCAGCTCCGTGCTGGACTGGAGAACTGCAAGAGCAGCAGCAGCGCAGCTGGCTATGCTGCATAGGGCAGCACCCTCTCTTGGAAGCAGAACCAGCGGCTAGGAGGCAGCACCAGGCATTCCCCCACAAAACCCCACAGCCAGTGCTGCCTCGCCGCAACCTTAGTGCTTCGCTGCTGCTGCCTGTCGTGCGAAGCAAGGCAGCTTGTCGAAGAAGGAGGGAGAACAAGAAGGGGGGAGCGGCAAGCGCGGACAGAAAAACCCCTTGATTCTATGACAACGTGGAAGACGGTAGCTTGCTGCAACACGAGTCAAAAAGTGAGAACAAGGCTGATTTCTGTTGCTGCTGGAGTGCTTAAAAAAATACACAGAAGCTGCAGCAAGCGCATATCTGCCTGCGGAGAAGGCCTCACCACGGGATCGATCGTCTCGGCGGCACTGCTGCTGCTGCTGCTGTAGCTTTTGCAAAAACGCCAAGACTTCGAACAGATAAATTCCAAGATAATTCCGAAAGCAGTAAGTAGAATCTCTGATCTTCCCTCGTACTCACCACAGTCTAATACCTAGCGAGGCCTCTGACAACCCCCCTGCCACACACACAGACACACCACACCCGAGGCTCCCAGTTTTGACGGCTGGACGACTAGCGCTTTTGCTGCTTGCTGCACGGTCCAGCTTCTGCATTTTTTAAGTTTCAGACTTCCTGAAGTCTGCTCCTTTGTGCTGAGTGCCTCGCTATGCGCGCGCACCTGCTTGGCTGTGCGCAGACGCAGACACCCCAGGAACGAGGCGGCAGCGCATTAAGCAGTCCGTGAAAGGGGGGAAGGGGAGGGGAAGGACTCTCTTTTTCGCTTCCTCCGAGCTAGCGGCTCTTGGGAGGCCTCCACTTTGCCTGAGGAGGATAGCGGCATGCGTGAAGAGAAGGCACACAGGGTAGCAGCGAGACTCAGGAGACGCAGGCACGCCTTGCTCTAGGCATTAATCGAGGAACATGAAAAGACAGACAACTGGCTGGCATGCAGGCAGGCAGAAGAAGAAGAAGCAGAGTGCAGGAAACAGAGAAGCTCAGAGGCTGCACTAGGAAAAGAGACGCGAGAGCAACGGACAGATATAGCTAGAGGTAGAACAAAGCGAAACGCGTCCACGGAGGGGCACCGCTGCACTTGCCACGCCGCTGCCTAAGGCAGACGAGGCGCAAGTAAGTGCCGCAGAGAAGGCAGAGAGAGAGAGACAGAGAGACAGAGAGAGAGAGAGAGACAGAGAGAGAGACAGAGAGAGAGACAGAGAGAGAGAGAGAGAGAGAGAGACAGAGAGAGAGAGAGACAGAGAGAGAGACAGAGAGAGAGAGAGAGACAGGGACAGAGACAGACAGACAGACAGACTTTAAGGCCTTCCCAGTATCTGTCCCGTGTAGCCTCTTCTTGTTCCCTCTAAAGGCGCACAGTTGGCAGTTGCTTTGACGAAACGTGCTGACTTCGCTAGACGTACTGACACTGCAGCTGCGGCTACCCAACACTCCAGTCCAACAAGAAGCCAGTGCCCCCAAAAATGCATACGGCAGAGTCGGCGGCTGACTGCTTCAAAAGCACACAGCAGACGAACGCCAGCGTTCAAAAGGCTTCACGTGAAAAAACAGCAACCGCAGACGAATCGGGGGTGCTGCTGCTGCAGGAACAGCGGCGGAAACAGTTTCACTGCCAGCAACGTTTGACGCGCTGGCTGCGAGTGCAGCAGCTGTTGCTGCAGATCAAATGGCAGCGGATGCGCCGCCTCTTCCTCCTGCTGTGGCACAGACCAAATGTCAGACTTCGGTTGTTTCAGGGATGGCTTCAGCACCAACAACGGGAAGTACCGGAGTTGCGGTGGGTTTTTTGGGGATGTCTTTACCTCGCGCTTGTTCTCCTTGTCTCAATGCTGTATCTGCTGTTGGTGGATCCTTATTTGCAAAGACCCTCCGTGGCACAGCAGCAGCTCCTCCTGCTGCAGCAGCTGCAAGAAGACTATGAAGCCAAAGCAGCGTGGCTAGCACCTGTGTGGCGCGAGGAGACCCCCCTCGCTGCGAGGAGACACTTTACTGAGTTTCTTGTTGCTGCAAAAGCTGTGGCAGATGCTTCCAAAAAGGGAGCTTCAACCAATCCCAAGTTGCTATTTCTGCTTCAGCTAGCAGCACTGGGAAGTCGGGCTCAGTTTGCTGCAGCTCAGAGGAAGAGGCTGCAACAGCAGCTCAATCGTGCATATAGCCAGCAGACGAAGTTTGCGTACAGCAGCGTTCCTGAGAGCAGTATCAAGAGCAATCCAAACACCAGCACGCCTCTTTTCGAAGAGGCCCTCCGCATGGCAGTCCGCCAAGAAATAGAGCTGCGGGAGGTTTTCGCTGCTGCAGTGGCACAGAAGCAGCAGGAAGAGCAGGCTCGCTACCATAGATCCACCAAGAGGCAGCAGCAGGGTACGAGAAAGCAGCTGCAGGAAGAGCAGCGACAGCATCAACGGCATGGGGTGTTTGGGCACTCGTGCATGGCTGATGCAGTGCGCATAATGCAGTTGGGCAAAGACGACGCAGCGGCAGCCACTGCTGCGGCCGTTGCTAGCAATAATTTGTCGACTGTAGAAGGCCAGCTGCGGCTGATGCAGCAGAAGCAGCAGCAGCAGGAAAAACAACAGTTGCAGCTAGTGCAACAGGAGCAACAGCTTTTGCATCAGCAACTAGCTCAGAAGCGTCGCGCGCTAAAGAACGCCAGCGACTTCGCGGCACTGCAGCAGCAACTCTCTGGCGTGCAGCTTCAACGGTGGGAGCTAGAGCAGCAGCAGCTGCTGGTTCAGAAGGAGCTAGAGAAATTTGAAAAGCAGCATCTGGCACACCGTCAGCGCCAGCAGCAGCTGCTCCGCATGCACCTCAACTTTGCGGCCGCAGAAGGCTCCTGGTTAGCTGCATGCACACGGCTTTTTCCATCCAGTACCTCTTGGCTAACTCCGTTGTTGTCACAGCAGGAGATTGATTCTTCCGAGAGCTAAGCGCTTCGCCACGACGCTTCCCCTCTGCGCTTCCAAGTGCGATAGCACTACCAGCCTCGGAATCCCGAGGCGCACACTAGCAGCAGCAGAAAAGGTAGCAACCGCTGCAACTGAAAGTGTCTTAGAAGTCGCCACATCTTGCATGTTGAGCCTCAAACATGCAGCTGCAGCCAGTAGGGTGCAACTGCATGCCCATCAAGCTGGCAGCGACGGCTGGAAGGTGCAGCACCCAGCACTACGTTTCTGATATCCTGCGTAAAATGCCTTTGCCCCCCATTCGAGCCATGACAGGTGTCTGCACACAGACACACACACCCGCATACAAACGCAGGCACCAACGCACCTAAGGCACACCTTGACAGAGACTACTGACCAACGAATTCCAACTCTACAAGTCCCTCGCCTGTATCCTTCAAGGTTTGCAGCAAGTCTTACACCCTGAAAGAAAAGAAGCGCCACCGTCCAGGACTGTTGGTCGCGTCTCTACTTCTACTGCAGCGATGGTGTTCGTGGTATTTCTTGACTTCTTATCTTCTGCTAGTTCCGACAAGTGCGGTTGTGGCTCCTGCCTTGGGAATAAGTGCGACTTTGTTGATACATTCATCACCTCACATTGAACTCATCCCACTGGAGACGTTTGCGTGCGTACTAGCCCGCTGGTTTGCTTTTTGGACAGCGGCCTCTCGGCAATGCATTGTATAGCTTGAATGCTGAAAGCCTGTAGTGTATATTCGCGCGCCGCCGCTGCATGCAAAGAAGTAAAAAATCCTTCCATCCTTGATCGGCGTTACCCTGCGCCGGTTCGTATTTGCTTCGTAGTGATGCTTTACCGCTGCTGATTCAAAGAATGCCTCACGCGCAAGCAGGCATGTATTTCGCTGTTGCGGATCTGGCAGTGGAAGATTCGGTCGGCTGCATAGTTGTGTATGGTTTTTCATGAAAGGCGATGGGTTCATTGCACACTGGACTTGGATGCACGTACTCTACCACAGTTTGCGCCGTATCCGCTATTCCTTGTCGTGTGGCAAGCACAGCGGCCAAAGCGGAAAGCGCTGGACCGCTTCAGCTGACGAGTGAGCACACGCACATCGCTCTAGTGGAAGCCAATCGGTGCATAAAGCTCTTCGCAGTGTGTGGACTACCTTGCGTGGCATCGGCCTAAGCGTTTGGAAGGATTGAGGGTGTCTGCTTCCGAAACTGTCCGGTAGCAGGACGGCACATGCAAGGGAGGATCCAAAGGCAGTACTCCCAGGATATGGCAGTGCAGCAAAAGTAGAGACTGTTGGTGCATTGGGGATACAGGAGTGCGTCGCATTGCGGGTATAACGGTGGGGGTACAGGAGGCGTCTTTCGGTCTAGGGGTGGCGATTGCTGATTCGTCAGGAGACACAGTTACAGAATTTTTACTGCCTCCCCTGACGAGGAGGGCTGTTTTACCCTATACAACTCACCATGGGCCAGCTGCGCGATTCTTCATGCTATCTGTGGGATGAGTGCCACGTGGTGTCGACGCGGCATTCCATACACAAGATAACTTTCAGGCAACCTTGCCTCGGTGCCACCCAAGCCCCCCCCGCGCAGCATCGCCATGAAGGTTTTTGCTCTACAAAGTACACACTCATCTTGGAGGCGGCAAAAACAGTTTCTGCCCTTCAATTGGGGAATATGCCGATGTAAAAGATGAAGGTATTTCCGAGAGAATAATCAGGGATTGGCCAGGGTGTTGCTAGAGCGTAGCCAACCATTCCAAGCACTTCTACGAGTGGAATGTGTGCGAGAGATGTCTCGCGTCGAGGAATTGAGAAGCTGCTAGTGCGCATCTGGCGTGTCCATGCTTCCTGACAAGGCGCTCATACATGATGACCTTCGGATGGGTGCGCGTCTTTTGCTGAAACCTTCTCATGTTCTTTTCTAAAGACCATCAGGCACTAGGCATCTTTGAGGTGCCACATGACGGCTACTAAACTCATTCTCTGGTCAGCTGCTCTTGACTACTACGGCAGGATGCAAGGATCTATCTGGGATCTTTAGAGTGAGGCACTTCTTTCCAAACTTTCCAACGAGCTAGTAGAATGTCATTGCGTTTCGTTACAACAAGCCTTTGCCCGCCCCCCTCAGAGTTCTCGACATGAGGAAAGAGGAACAGCCAACATGCAGACAGTTGCCCGTCCCAAGCAATCCGAGCATGCTTAGAGCACATAGCGTACCCATAAAAAATTGATTCTCACGCTATTTGGCCAACGGTCCGCTGCAGTAGCTACAAACTGCGATGAGCCAAAGCAGGTAGTCACTGCTTTCCTAAGTCTTGTCTAAGTACAACATGTCATGTAGAAAGTGCCGAAGTGCCGTTTAGCCTGCTGCACTAGCTGTGGTCACTCCCTCTCAACGTTTTCCATGCATTCAATATGGGATCCTGGGGCATGTCTGTGGAAATTAGAAGGGCTGTTGCTGCTCGGAGAGTAGTGCAATCAGTCTGATACGCAGGTTTGTGCATAAGAGTCGTAGTCCCTGTGTAACTCGAGAGCACGTTTTTGCTGAGGTGCTAATCGCTACACTCGTACAGGCGCGTGAAAGCAACAACTGGACCAGCAGCAGGAAACTGAGCTTCTCATGAGGTGTCCGCTTGTGAGGGAGATGGACATTCTAGCAGACAATGAGAATTGGTTTCTAGAGGCAAGCTAATGCAAGTTAACACCCCACCATCAGCGCCAGCAGATGCAGCTCAGCGTGATGACCACCATGTCACTTTCTGCACACGGCCAGGTGGTGTATAGCAGAGCCAAATTATATCACATTAAGCCTACACCGCAACATTCTGAATGATTCATGGAAGACTGGTGACGAGAGAGAAGCTTCAGCAGCAGCAGCAGCGGCTGCACCAGCAGCCGCTGCTGCCGCAGTCGGCAGCGCCTCCGCCGTCCATCCAGTAGCAGCAGCTTTAGCAGGCATAGCCACTGTTGCTCCCGCCTTAATATTATGAACAGCAATAGTTGTATCGTGTTACTAGTGTCTTTAAGCGTGGAGGACTCTTTGCACTGTCGCACTTTGCAGCAGCAACAGCTGGTGAAGTGCTTGAACACCAGGCAGCACCCGCAACAAGAGCGCCAGTCGTAGTCGAAATAGAATACACCCCATACGCAGAGAGAATTCCTCCCTCTTGAGCCACGGAAGCAGCAACGCATGCCTCACCCGGAGGAGCATCAGCCGCAGAAGCACTGCCAGGTCCGCCTATGGCTCCTTCCCATTAGCTGGAATGCGTAATATGAATGCAGCGACTTCCTTCGCTGCAGCACGAGCTTGAGGCTTTGCAGAACAGCAGCAGCCTGCTGCAGACGCTGTTGGTGTTATTACTGACTGCCGCTGGTGCCTCAGGAGCCGCTTGCGAATTCGCAAGCAGCTCCTGAGGCACCAGCGCCAGCCCTTCTCCCCAGAAATCTGAAAAATGCAGCACAGCACTCCTTGGATGCAGGGGAAACAGCCACACCAGCAACAGCCACATCAGCAACAGCCACATCAGCAACAGACACAACAGCAACAGACACCCAAACACGCATTTGCAGAACACAAGACGGCCCCCTCTTCGGTGACAGTCGCTTTCCGAGGGGCACTGCCGTATATTTTCAGTTGTTACAAAAGCCGTGTATGTGATCGCTCAGTCCAGCTGCAGCAGCTGTAGCCGATTTGGCAGTGCTGGCATTGCCAGCGAAGGCGAAAATTGATTCAGTGACAAGATCGCGTTCCTGCGCTGCAGACTCGCTGGCGCAACAGCCTCTGGCGAGCCAAAGGCGCAAGGAGCAGCTCCTCATTCAGTCCAGCAGTTTCAACTCGAGCAGAAGAGGCAGCAGCAGCAGCAGTAGCAAAAGAAGAGCCGGCAGTAGCCGCAGCAGCAGCAGCAGCAGCAGCAAGCACAATCGCAGGTGCAGGCAGAGCATTACAAACAGCTCGCTTGAATCTGCATGCATAGAGCAGCCGATGCAGCGCATCCCCTCTGCAGTCGGACCAGCAGAAGAGCCAACGAATTCGCGAGAGGATTTCGCGCATGTTTCTTCGTCTGTTCTTCTAGAGCAGCAAGGCTCGAGGTGCCACAAGCCACAGATGTTTGCGCTTGCGGTGCTTTTTGGAGATGGCCGTTACAGTCACAACGGCTGTTTGTCTGGTGCCTGTCTCACCACAGGCAGCACTGGAAGACACGGCAATAGCAGCAACAACAGCAACAACAGCAGTTGTAGCAGTTGCAGCAACAATCGCAGTTGTAGCAGTTGCAGCAACAACAGCAGTTGCAGCAGCAACAACAACAACTGCAACAACAACGACAACAACAGCAACAACGACAGAAACAACAGCAACAACGACAACAACAGCAACTGCAACAACAGCAACAGCAACAACGACAACAACAGCAGCAACAACAGCAACAACAGCAACAACAGCAACAACAGCAACAACGACAGCAACTGCAACAACAGCAGCGAAACGGTGTGCAATCGAAACAGCTGCAGCCTTTTTCTGCGCGCGTTGTGTCTGAGCCCTCAATTCTGCGACTTGTTGCCAACACTCTTAGGACCAGCAGCCGTGTGCAACTCGTTGCTGCAGCTGTCATTTGGGGTGTATATGCATGTGCTGGTTCGGCAGCAGCAGATCGCGGTGAGCCTCTCAGACCTTGCTCAGCTGCAGCGGCCAGCTGTTCAGCAGCTGCTGCTGCATCGTGTGCTGCTGATGCAGCGCGCTTGGCGGCAAACCACGACTTTGTACGTTTGGAATCTGCTGCAGCAGCAGATACAGCAGCAGATGGAGCAGCAGCAGCAGGTGGAGCGGATAGAGCAACAACAGCAGATAGAGAAGCAGCAAACGGCTCATCGGCAGCAGGTGGAGAAGCAGGTACACCAGATTGGTCATCAGACACAGCAAATAGATCATCAGCAGCGAGTGAAAGCTGTTTTGCCGGCAGCGACATGCGCTGCATGCGGAGGTCTACTACGATACTCAGGTCCAAGTTGCAGCAGCACGGTGAGTTTTGAGCCAGTGAGAACGCTGCTGTGTCTAGCAGCTCCTGGCATGCAGCCCTCTCTTCAGTTTCGCTTTCTGAGAGTTGGAGAGCTTCGTGAGTTGTTGCAGCGGCGTCATCAGCTGCTGCAGCTCCTTTGGGGTGTACAGTCTCTGGAGCTGATCGGCTGCGAAGTAAATGCCTTTGTTGCACTCTCGCTCGCGGCGGCTGCTGCTGCTGCTGCCGATGGGCATACGGCTGTTTTGGAGGAGCACTACAGCCGCATGCAGAAGGAGCTGCAGCAGCTGCAGCAGCAGCAGCAGAACCTGCAGCAGCAGAGATCGCTCTGGCAGCAACACATCCCCGACGCGAACAGCGACGTGCAGACCAGCACCACTACCACACACCAAGCGAAGCAGGAAAAGCCTCAGCTCAAAATTGTGATGCTCAAACTTCCGCCGCTTACAAAACAACTGCAGCTGACACCGCTCAAGCACTTTGCGTTTTGCCAGTGCTCCGGAGAGGCGGTTCGCGCGATACTTACGGAAAACGACACCAGTGTCGAGAGCAGAACCTGCAGCAGCAGCTCTACCAGCAGCAGCAGCTCTACCAGCAGCAGCAGCTCTACCAGCAAGACGAGCGTGAGCAGCAAAGATCGCATTTCTTCTTGCTGCTGCTGCAGCAGCAAGAAGCGGGGTGTCTTGGCAGACACCTGGTTTGGGCAAGGGATGCTGCGGCGGCTTTGGCTTCGTAATTGTGCTCTCTCAGTCCAGGGCATGCATAAAATAACAATTTCTCTCTTGATGCCTCTTCGGAAGCAGCTCAGAGAACTGCTTTTACAGCACTGCAGGCTAGACTGCTGCGATGCGCTGGTGCTCGCCAACTGCCTCCGTGAAATGGAAGTTCTCGAGGTGAGTCTGCTACGACTTGGTGCCTCTAGAAAGAAGACGGAGAGCTGCTGCTTTCGGAGCTGCTGCCTCAAGGGTTGCGCTCACTCCACGAGCTGCGCCCAAGAGGCCACGTTCATGCAAGATCACACCTGCGGAGGTTGTTGCCTGTCTAATCAGCGCTCTCGCTGCTGCTACACTTGCCGGCTGTGTGATGCGCGTGTCTTTCTGTCTCTCTGTCTCCGCGGCTTTGTACGTCGCAGGTGCTCGATCTAAGCAACAATGAAATTAAGGACGGCGGAGCAGCCATGCTGCTGGCAGCAGTGCACCACGGCAGCTGGCCAGTAATGCAGCAGCAGCAGCAGCAGCAGCAGCACAGTGAGTGGCAGCAGCAGCACAGTGAGTGGCAGCGTGCTAAGAAGAGGGATAGCAACGGAGAGGATGTGCTTAAAACGGATGCTCTGCAGCAGGAGGAGGCGCAGGAGACCGATGTGCTCCCTGAAGAGGCTGGGGAGAGGTGCCGCACTGCAGTGTACAGACACCTGAGGAGGGTCGACCTGGGTGGCAACGATCTCTCAGGCACAGATATGTTGGTGCCGATCCTTGCTGCTTTTGTTGCAGATGCTGCCTCGTCAGATACACGTCTTCATTACATTGGATTGCAGTCCAATGACTTAGGCCTTACTATTTTTAGCGCTCTCGCAGCCGCTGCTGCCATCTATACGCAGCAGCGAAACAGAACGCTCACTGCCGCTGCTGCCGCCGCTCTAGCGGATGCGGCAGCAAGAGACGCAGAAGCAGCAAGAGCAGCAGTAGCAGCTGCAGCTGCTGCTGCTGTGAGCGCTGATAGGCAGCCTCTTCTAGGAGCTGCAGCAGTAGCAACAGCCTCGAGAGGTTCAGGAGAAGCGTGCACTGCCACAGTCAACACTGTTGCTGCAGACGCTGAGGCGGGCTGCCGCAGGCAGCAGCAGTTACGCCACTCTTTAAGCAGCAGCAACGCAACAACTTGCTGTCTGAGCTGCAGAGACAGCGCCTCGCCTCCTGTCTGCTGCTGCCTGCTGGTGGATGTGAGAGACAACCCTCGGTGCAGCGCCAGCGTTTACAGCACTATTGCCGCTTCCAGCGGCAATAGTGCTTCCTGCTACGGGTCGAGCGGCAATAGCAGCAGCAGCAGCAGCAATAGCAGCAACAGCAGCAATAGCAGTCCTGCTGAGACGGCTGCTGCTGCACAGTGTATGGCGTCTGCAGCAGCAGCAGCAGGCTCTTCGCCTTCCCAAAGGAGTCGCAGCAATAGCCCGAATAGCAGCCATGGCAGCAGCAAAACTACCAACGGCTGCTGCTGCTGCAGTTGCGTTGTACTTCACGATGGTTGCTTGGATTCTGCAACAACGCCCCTTGCGGAGCGACGCAAGAGGAGCCGAGAGACACCTGATGAAGCTAAGCGTAAGCTTTCTTGTTGCTGCTCTCCCTTGTTGCTGCTCTCTCTTGTTGCTGCTCTCTCTTGTCGCTGCTCTCTCTTGTTGCAGCACTTTCTTGTTGCAGCACTTTCTTGTTGCAGCGCTTTCTTGTTGTTGCTCTCTCTTGTCGCTGCTCTCTCTTGTTGCAGCACTTTCTTGTTGCTGCACTTTCTTGTTGTTGCTCTCTCTTGTTGCTGCACTTTCTTGTTGTTGCTCTCTCTTGTTGCAGCACTTTCTTGTTGCTACTTTCCCTTGTTGCTGCTCTCCCTGCTTGCTGCTCTCTCTTGTTGCTGCTCTCTCTTGTTGCTGCTCTCCCTTGTTGCTGCTCTCTCTTGTCGCTGCTCTCTCTTGTTGCTGCTCTCTCTTGTTGCTACTTTCCCTTGTTGCTACTCTCCCTTGTTGCTGCTAACGGTGTGGATTGTTGTGTGTTTTCTTTGTAAAATTGCTGATGTTGCAGGCCGTGGTAACAAGGTGTACTGCGCAGCCGCTGCAGCGGAGGGAGGCTGCTTACAGCACCGCCAGCAACAGCAGCAGGACTGCAGCAGCACTATCTGCTGTTGCTGCTGCTGCTGCTGCGACTGCATGCGCCCCCCTGCGGCCTCTGCAGTGGCAGCAGCAGCAGCAGCAGCCGCAGCGCAGCAGGCGGCAAAAGGGTCGTCATCGCTGGGGGCGAAGGCAGCGGCGGCAGCAGCTGCAGCAGCAGCAGCAGAAGAAGCGGCTGCTGCTGCTGCTGCGGCTGCTGCCGCGTCGAGGGAAATCACACCGGACCAGGAAGCACTTGCTGCAGCGGAACTGGAGGCAACAGAAGCAGCGCAGCGAGCTGCACTAACAGCTTTTTGCATGATAGAGACTGCCCAGACGGATCTTGAGCAGATAGGCACGGAGCCATCAGTGACGGGGGATGTGCGCATGTTTATGTGTAGGGGCCGTGAGGTGTATAGGGAGGTGCTGAAACAGCAGCGCATGCTGCAGCAGCAGCTCCAGCTGCCGCAGCAACACCTGCAGCACCAGCAGGCCACACTCAGCAGCAGCGTAAGCGACGCTGAGACAGAAGGCGATTCTGAGTTTCAGTTGTCGGATGTTGCTGTGGATCTAAGCAGCAGGAGCAGCAGAGCGTCCAGCACTGACAGCAGCTGCAGCAACAGCACGAACTCCAGTTCTTCGGCTATGTCTCTTCCCCCCGATGAAGTAGGGCTCAGTGCTAGCATAGGCCTCCCCATGTACAGCAGCAGCAGCAGCAGCAGCGTCTCGTGTGCAGCTGTCAGCAGCAGCAGCAGGGGCAGAAGCAGGCACAGAGATAAGAACAAAAGCAGCAGCAGCAGCAGCAGCTACGCGTCTGGCAGGCGCCCTGTCCGTTCGGGCAGTAGTAGCAGTGAAGGGGGGAAGGAGAATAGCAGCGGCAGCAGTGGAAGCGAGTCTGACAGCAGTAGTGATGGAGTAGCAGAAAGCGAAATATCTGGCCTGCTTGACGACGCCTTTTCTAGCACATCCCCCTAGCAGCAACGGATGGTGTGCCAATGTGGGAAAGACTGCAACAGCGGCAGTGTATGCAGGCGACGTATCACTCAGAGCAACAACCGCAGGAGTAGGGTGGGCTTCGCGTGCCTCATTGCCGTGGCATGCATATATGCATATGCATGTATGCTGCATGCAGACGCGACCCCTGCCCCTGCCGTGGTGGCTGTCGCAGCAGGGGGAGTGAGTGCAACTGTCTGTAATTAACACAGCCAAGAAAGGAAAACCGACCAATTAGAAGCGGGTCGGCACTACACCGGAGCGCGAAGGTGGGAGCTCTCCTGTAATGGCGTGGCACTTGCTGCTGCATCAGCAGCAGCAGCAAGTGCCACGCCATTGCAGCAGCAGAGTAGCACACTGTCGCGCTCCTTAAGGGAAGCCCATGCATGCCCTGAGCGAACCCTTGCAGTGCATCTTTTCAAAATTTGAGGGCAGCAGGGTGTTGCTACGGAGGCGGCTGCAGCAACATTCTGCTGCAACGACTTGTGCTGAGCTGAGGGTCGAAGAGGCTAAAATTTTTGCGGCCTTTCCTGCGCTGCGGGTTGGCGGCTCAAAGGGAAGATCGGCAGAATGTCGAATAAAGGCTTTAAGCTAGGTGTCTAAAGCGGTGGCTTGCAGCAGCAGAAGCCGCTGCTGCGTGCAAACATGCATGCAGCAGGAATGGCTGTGATGTGACAGGGCATAGTGTGACCCGAGATGGGGGTGGTGGTGGTGGGGGGGTGGAGGGGGGCAAGCGATGCTGCAAGTTTAGCCAGTTCAGAGAGCAGCTATTGTTAAGACTTTCGCATGACTGCCTGCTCCTGCTGCTTCTGCATTGCTCACAGCAGTAAGACTGCTTTCAGCAGCAGCACACACACGCACA